TTGCTATTACTATATTTACCATACATATATACATACAGCCGTTACTCGCTGACGAGTATTCGACACACATAAAGAAAATGGTCACGCAAGGCGTTTTCTTTCATGAGCTTTTCTGTGACTGAAAAGCCCGATACGTGATGTTATCTGCCTACCGCACTCCGGACATTCAAAAATCTCATTGCTTTGTTGCCTCTCTACTTTTTGGTTGCCGCTGTTAACTGAGTTTACAACCCTTCTCCATTGAGTTCTATTGTGAGCTGCTTTTTCCCACTCATTCTGCATGTTAATTCCCTTTAAATTTTCGTGGAAAATGTCCTTGTATCTTTTCAGTTGTCCACCCGGCCTCCTCTTACCGTCCACAAGCTCACCGTAAAGCAGAGATTTTGGTATGCGGTTTTCTTGCATTCTGCATACGTGACCAGCCCATCTTAAGCGGGATTTTGTGACCATGACTTCAATACTCTCGCAGTTAGATTTTTCAAGGACCGATACGTTTGAGACATGATGGAACCACCGGACTCTTAAGAGTTGTCTAAGGTGTCTCTGTTGCAACTTGTTCAATGCGTTCATGTGTCGGCGGTAAGGCACCCAGGTTTCGCTCCCATATATCATGGTGGGGATTATAATTGCTCGGTATACTGCAAGTTTTGTTTTTGTACTCAAGTCATGATTGTAGAAAACCCTGTCTTTTAATTTCCAGAATGCTCTTGAGGCGCTACTAATCCTGTGCTGAATTTCAGAGTCAATATTGGCCTTTTCCGAAATCAAACTGCCAAGGTAATTGAATTCCGCCACATATTCGAATAGTTCTTCTCCGATTTTATAGCATTGTTGTGATCTTCCGGGGGAGTGCACATGATTTTAGTTTTGCCGATGTTCAGCTTAAGGCCCAAAGCCTCGTATGCCCAGGTATATGTGTTCAACATTTCTTGTAATTGTTGTACCGTGTTTGCAACTAGAGCGCAGTCGTCAGCGTATTGAAGTTCTGTGATAAATTTTGTACGCTTAACACTGGTCTAATGTTTGCTATTACTATATTTACCAATGACATCGAAATGAATTTATTTAGAGTTCATTAATATTTACTATAAACTTACTAAATATTTTTGAACCTTATTTTTATTTTTTTATTCTTTGACATTGTAAACATTTATAAATATTTATTTTAAACAATAAGGCTGACAATGTAATTTGTATAATGTTTTGTATTTTCTTTTGTTTGTTTGTTTGTTTTAGTTTATCTTTGTCTACAAATTGTAAAATTTTTTGACAATAAAGGCATTTATTTATTTATTTACACCTGGAAAATATCGGATAAATAAATAAAGAACTGCTTGGTAAAATAATAGACATCTCAAATGAAGACGGTTGTTAAAATACTAACCTCAAATATATTCCGATCGAATCGTCTATGGAATGACTTTTCGTGAACTCGTTGCCCAAAATGACAAGTAACGCTTTATCGTGACGTTGAACAATGACAGTAAATGACGCGTCGAGCCTAAGTGACTTATTGTTAGTGGCGCTTTTTATGTAAAAAGGCAATTTCCTGTTTTCGGAGACCCTCTTCGTGCGTGGTAGATTCGTGCAACCGGTCTTTTTTTCTGCAACTCGTCTCGGTCCGGTTGATCTCTGGCTAGGGAGAGTTAAAAATCTAACACCGTTTTCTTTTTCACCCTCTTTTTGATAAAAGTACGCTTTTTATAAGCTTGTGCTATTCATCACCAGAACTGTGTGTCATGGTACAAAGAAAACAAGGTATGATCGATAGCGGCTCCAATTTCGTTAAGTTTGCGCATACCACCTGTGACGTCATACGCCATACAAAAAAATATCCATATTGTACAGTTGCCACTAATAAAAAGAGACCTAAAATAGGGAAGAATTAGGATATAATCCCAAAAGTTATGTCAAATCATCGAGCTTGACATTTGAAAAAATATTTTCACATTTTGACACAATCAAATTTCACAGATGACACAATCTATTTGACAATTTGAAATTGGCGCGCAGAGCTTGTCGACCAATGGTGCCGTTTATCACCTGTGACGTAGTGACCAACCTGCGCAATATCATACCTTGTATTCTTTGTATCATGACTGTGTGTTGTTATGTTGGTTTCTGACGAATTTTAAGAATGAAATTATTTTGTAATATTCTGGAATAAGATAAAATACTCTTAAGATTAGCTATAGTAAACGCCACGAATGTTTGAGAGTGATTCATCGGTCGCTACCATGGTACAAAGAAAACAAGGTATGATCGATAGCGGCTCCAGTTTCGTTCAGTTCGCGCATACCACCTGTGACGTCACTAGGAAAATCAGGAATAAATAAAAAATAAAGAAAGTTGACAGGAGATCTGCATTTTTGGGGTTATGGTTAAGAATTGTTTGTTTTAAGACTTTTAGTTCATTTAATTTAATAATTACTAAAACCAGTAGTTCCAAAAATATATTTAAAATAAAAGACAAAAATCCAAAATATTAATTATCTATTAACATGGATTTGGACGATAATAGGTAAGAATACTAAATTTATTTCTATATTAGGTATAAAATTGTTTATTAGGTTTTTAGTTTGCGGTGTTTATGGTAAATAATTTTCATGTTCATTGTCTCTGAATTCACATGAGGACAGAGGTGAGGATATCTATGGAAAAGTAACCACAAGAGGAATTGTTACATCATTTAAAAAATGTTGGGAATTTTATTGTTTCCCATCGAAAAGTAGAAAATGCCAATGCAGATGAATGTATTGTAATTGTGATAGAAGTAATTCCAAGGGTGAAGTTTATTATAATTAGTGACCTGTGCTTCTTTTATATGTAGATGTTTCAAGTTTTGAGAATAAATCGGTTGAACAAAACCCAAAATTTAGAGGAAGTACCTATTTGCATACCCAGAATATGCCCATCAAGGATTATAGCTCAAATTTCCTTTAATGGTAGGCAATTATTCAATGCAAATTAACTTTTAAGTGACTGAAATATTAAATAGTTTACAATATGGTATATCACTAAAAATATATTACTTTTAGGTACAATTAGGGCCCGATACATTTCAAAAAGTAGAATATTATTTTATATTAAATGAGGTATTGTACCAACAATCAATTTTTATTAATACCGGAGATTAAAAAATAACAGAATAAATAGTTTTTTTTATACTACAAAAATAAACTATAGAATACAACAGTATTTAAAAAATTAAATAAAAAGTTATGTCCCGGCTGAGATTCGAAATCCGGTCTCTCGCTTCCTATCCTGACTCTTTACGCACTGCTCCACAGTAACTTGCTTAGCGTTAATTCAATGACGGTATATAAAAAAAAAAACAAGTTTACTACAATATCTTGACGATTTGAACTGGCGCGCGGAGCGTGCTAACCAATAAGTGCCTCAGTTATCACCTGTGACGTACCTGCGCAATTATCATACCTTGTATTCTTTGTACCATGGGTCGCTACCATGATACAAAGAATACAAGGTATGATATTGCGCAGGTTGGTCACTACGTCACAGGTGATAAACGGCACCATTGGTCGGCAAGCTTCTGCGCGCCAATTTCAAATTGTCAAACAGATTGTGTCATCTGTGAAATTTGATTGTGTCAAAATGTGAAAATAATTTTTCAGATGTCAAGCTCGATGATTTGACATAACTTTTGGGGTTATGTCCTAATTCTTCCCTATTTTAGGTCTTTTTTTATTAGTGGCAATTGAACAATATGGATATTTTTTGTATGGCGTATGACGTTACAGGTGGTATGCGCAAACTTAACAAAATTGGAGCCGCTATCGGGGAAACGTTTCCCACTTCCAGCGAAAGATATGAAATAGAAGAGATTACATTAGGAATGTAGCTGAGTGTAATGGATATTCTCCTTCACTAGTTGATAAATTAATTAGAAAACGTAGGTATAGGTTAATGATTTCTGAAAATTCGACTTTTCAAGTGGAGAAAGACACGTCTAAATATTTTTCGATGCCGTTTGATAGAGAGTTATCCCGTGGTCTAAAAGGAATTTTGAAGAATGTAAATTATAAACTTGTGTATAGTGCTAATAATAAATTACAACAATTATTAGGTAATCCAAAGGATAAAACACCTCCACTGGAAAGGTCGGGTATTTATGAAATTTCTTGTAAAGATTGTAATCAGAAATATGTTGGGCAAACTAGAAAATCAATATTAACTAGATTTAAAGAACATTTAGCTCAGATAAGATATGGTAAACCGGATAAATCTTGCGTTGCCGAACATATTGTTCATAAAGAACATTGTATAGATCTTAATAATTTAAAATTAATTAAACAAGTCTCAAATTACAGGCAATTAGATGCATATGAAAGCATCAGAATTAATAAATGTAAAGATAGTATGAACAGAGACAACGGTCCAATTCCTTCAAGTTCTTTGTTCCTACTACTCTAGTGGAAATCTAACTGTTACGCTCAGTTGGCTCTGACTCGGTTGGCTAGATTTTGCCACGCCCTCTGGGGCCCACTGAGCGAGTATATAAACGCTCAACTTGTAAATTGTACTTTAGTTTATAATCATCTGCTGATGATGCTAACATGGTTAGCGAAACGCGCGTCCAGTGTAAAAGTAAAAGTGTTTTGGTGTATTGTGGTGATTTAGTGTTTTTATTTAACATGATATTATACAAAATAATGACTGACATTAGGATAATTGTCAAATAATAAACGACAACCTTGCTGAAAACGGCGCAATGTGACCAACACAGCGATAATAAAATTAGGTTTAAACAAATTTTTGCAGCTTTAATCTAAATAAAATATCTGTTACAATCATTGGCTCTATAAAGTAAAATGAAGAACTGCTCGGTGATTTTAATTAGCTTGCAAATTTAAACATGTTTGCCAATATTTCATTTAGTCAGATTTATAGACTTTAGTGTCGTTGTCGATATTATTGATGACGTGCATCGGAAAATGTTTTGCGATTACAATCAACACAGATATTAAAATTAAAATTCATTTTATACATATAACTCTTAATTAAATTTATTCAATTATCAAAACACTTTTAAACGTAACAACAAAAAAACCATATCACAAATTATTGCTGTGACGATGCATTAGGGCACGGACAAGGCTGGCGAGGTGGATAACATAATACCGGGCTATCGACAGTAGCCGTAAAACACTTATATCTAGCTTTAGGTTTTCCATTTCCTCCATTATTGTGAGAGTTTCCGTTCGACTTATTATTGGACGATCCATTGCCATTCGTGTGACGGTACGAATTTTTCTTGCCTAAATGTTTACCGTCACAGAATTCGCTTGGGCCACAACTCGGAGGACTGGTGAGACACTCAGGGGAACCGTGACAACCGGTCCTTGGACAGTCATCCTAAAAATTATATTATTTCTGGTTTATTTTATTTTGAAAGTGAAAGTTTTCGTCCTTTCTGTATGCACTGTTTGTATTTTGTCCCACTTTAAACAGGCATTAACTTTTTTATTATTTAGAGATAGGACATTCATTAAACAAAAACAAAGTAAAGTAAACGCAGCGAATGTTTGGGAGTGATTCATCGGTCGCTACCATGTGAACTAATCTGTTCAAGGTCACATAAAACTTAATTCCAGTGCCGTGGTGTTTCAAGTCATATAATAATCAATATATAATCTGTTGTTTTAACTGTCAAAGTCTTGTCAAAACATATATTTGGTTATAAACTTTGAATAAGAAGACTAAGGAAGGAGCATATCAAAAATCTTAGGTACACCGCGATGGGCCTCAAATATGGCCGACTTAAATTCCGGTTTATCAGTGTCGTTCTAATTTTATTTAAAAAATGTAAAACTATGATGTAGGGTAGACTCAATAATTTGTTGTTTTATTTTACGTTGTGAATAAATGTTGGTAGTTATTAAAATTGTTATAAAAATATATAATTCTAATAAAAATAGATAAGTTATAAGTATTTATTAACACAAACATCCGATACGCTACTGAAGCAGGTAAGTCAAATTAACGTATCTAAATTCTTTGACATCTAATCTTTGACAAGTTATAAATAAAAGCTAAAATGCAAGAAAAATATATAATTTAGTTAATTTAAGTGAATTTCATAAATGATCGGTTTACTACACGTATGTATATTATATAGTCACTTACTAGCGAAAAGTTGTTCCATTATTTCACTCAATTTTTGCCGAGATCTACCGCACGCTACACAACCAACTATTTTAGAGTCTTTTTCGATAAATTGCGATAGTGTCATTGTTAATTTAAGTTCTGCCACAATTTCCATCTAGATTTACTACCTTTATACAACTATCAGTAGTAGAATAAATAATAAATAACATAAAATAAGCTCCGTAAAGACTGACAAATCCACAAAATTTCAAATCAAATTCAAATGTGTCAAATGAATCGTCAAACAGAACTGTCAAGGATCCCCACCCTAGAGTGCTTTTATGGTGGTTTTTCCGCCCACCATGCATGAATACATGGATAGCATTATGCTCCTTACTTAGTCTTCTTATTCAAAGGTTCAAGGTCACATAAAACTTAATTCCAGTGCCGTGGTGTTTCAAGTCATATAATAATCAATATATAATCTGTTGTTTTAACTGTCAAAGTCTTGTCAAAACATATATTTGGTTATAAATATAAACTGGAATGCCCCATTGGTCGCATTGCAACCACACCAATGGACTGACGCACAAAAACAAATCAATCAAAGAAACGCGATATAGTATCGTCTTTGTCAATCGCCCTAACATTTTAGAATAAGTAGGAGGAGCGCAGGCAGATGATTAGAGCGGGCCTTTAAAAACCTACGTCTGCGGTAAAAATTTACGTTTTTAATGTAAAAATGATAGCGCGCGTGTCGATTCTAACTTCATCAAGCGATGAATCACTCCCAAACATTCGTGGCGTTTACTTTAGTTAAGTTTAAATGCCAGACTTGATAGTATTTTTTAATGAAGACTCTATATACAGGGTGAGTTTTCTACGATGTTCTTTATGATTATCTCGGAAACTACTGGGGCTAAAGAGTCGGTTAAATCGGGAAAGAATTGCCATATTTTATATACAGAGTGTCCCACTTAAATTGGATACAAGTCAATATCTTGGTTGTTTGTTGAGCGATCTTTTCATTTTTTGCAGGAGGCTGTATGGCTATAAGACGTACATTTTGCCCAGGGTAAGAAATGCGTTACCTCATAAACGTACGTTTTAATGGGGTTCGATATTTTTCGAGTCGAGAGTAAATAAACTACCTTTAGTACAGTATTTATTTCAAATCTGATAAATTATATTGAATCCTCCTTAACTAAGATACTTAAGTTCTAATTTTCATAAATATTGATACAGGGTGTGTCATTAAAATATGACATTTTTATTTTTATTATTATTTTTTAAGTACTTACGACGCCACTGGATAAACAACTTGTTTATTATCAATAACCAATTATATCCAATTATTAATTACTTAATAATCGATTTAAGTTTGGTCGAAGATGATCGAAGATGTTGACTTTTAGTTCGTTATAGTATTATAAATCTTTGTTTAGAGCATATTTTTCAAAGTTAATAGTGATTGTTTTAGGATTTTTTAAAATATTCCTCAATAAAACGAATAAAAATCATATTTCAGATTCCATTGAAAACTGGGTTTTTTAATTATTTTGTAACTCATTTTATTCATTTGTATTAGCAAACTTAAAAACAATTTTTTAAAGTAAACAAAATAAATTGAAAATATTTAGTTTTTTTGTATCGCATCTTAATTATTAGGCATGGAAGCTATCTGAAAACTTAAAACGATTATTAATTGATAATTGGTTATAATTGGTTATTGATAAGTTTATCTAGTGGCGTCGTAAGTACTTAAAAAAGTAATAAAAATAAAAATGTCTTATTTTAATAACACACCCTGTATCAATATTTATCAAAATTAGAACTTAAGTATCTTGTGTAGAGAGGATTCAATATAATTTATCGGATATGAAATATATACTGTCCTAAGGGTAGTTTATTCTTGATTCAAAAAATATCAAACCAAAAAAATAAATAAAAAAAGACCGCAAACGAAAACCCATAAAAAACCTTAAAATGTTTCTTTGCGCACGCTCGTATAAAAAAATCGTAATCTTTAACTTTGGCCCCTCCCTTATTAAGAAGTCTGGTCACACCTATGCCCTGTATATTGGTGTCTACTACTCTGCTTTTTTTAATACAAAACAATATTAAATCATAATGAAAAAAATTACATAATTTCATGAGGTGTGATTAACCAATTTTTGTAAGAAAAATTAATTAAGAAAATGGCTAACAAGTAACAAGGTATGAAGTAAATAATATCAATTGCACCAACTTATTTTTTCGTAAAATAAAATAAACTACTTTGAAATTAAAACGACAGACACATCTATCAGTGTCAAGGATTTTGTCGTTAGACAGACTAAAAATTTCAGGCAATTCATAGAAACGGTGTCCAAGTCAACTTTCACACTTTTTTCAGTCGTATGGTAGTCATACCTGTAATCCATTGCGTTTTTCGCATAAACACCCAGTATACAAAATACTCGCTCTTAATTCTCTAGATTTCGAAGTCTTCAATCTAATAACACCCTCCTCTTTGTGAGAACCGTTGTGACTTTCTTTAGATTTCTGGTAAGGTTCTCTATAACAAACCTACAAAAATAATTGTCATGATAATAACTTCTGGTGATGACAATTCTTTGACATATTTCTTAAACTCAAATTATAAAATCGTGTGCTACTTACCATTACTTGAGGTGGATCAAAGTTATAATTATTTTTATTGTTGTCCTCCTTGCCGTTATTTTTAATTTCTGAAGGATAGTCATACATAGGAACACAACAAGGTAAACATATTGGTTTGACACCTATCTTCATCGAGTTTTCAACATCTTTCAAGGTTTTCTTAATTTTTGATGATAGTTCTGTGATATTTTCGGATATTTCCTTCGTGGGGCACACGAAAACCATTTTTTACGGAGAATTTTGAGAGAAAACTAGAATTTTGATTCTTGAAGCCGAAAGAGAATTGCAAATTTAAAAATGTCAAATAGAAATTGACATTTTGTAGTAATTGTTTTACCTTTATTGAATCGAAATAAAAGGTAAAAATTATTCATAAACGTTTGTTGATATAACAAATAAGACTTACAGTTAAAATTAAATACATATAATGAAAATAAATTTTGAACACATATTTTTAAAAATAAAATTAAACTATTTAATAGAAAGAGCTCTTGTGTTCTTGTTTTCCCTCGTAGAGATCACGGCAGCAATTAACAATCAAGTAGATCAATATTCGTTGAAATTAAGCAAACAAAATATATAATGTGTAAAAATCACCTAGCATCAATTGTTCGAATTTAACCTGTACTGGCTATGTTTTTATGATAACTGGCCAGAATTCATTCAAATAACTCTGTTTAGTATTAAACGACATTATGGAGCGTAGACCATCTTAACAGAGACGAAATGCTAAGGGCCATGGGTATGCTCGAAGCTGGAATGCGCCAAATCGACGTTGCTAGAGCATTAAATACACCGCAAAGTGTAATATCGCGATTAAGTGCACGCTACTGTGAAAGTGGTGATGTTGCTGAAAGGCACACAGGGCGACATCGCATTACTACCCCTCAGCAAGATCATTTTTTACAATTAAATGCTCGACGCCGACCGACTCTTACAGCACCAGAGCTTAGTTAAATTTTCCAGGAAACACATAATGTAACCGTTAGTCCTGACACTGTTCGCAATAGATTAAGAGAGGTCAACTTAAGAAGCAGACGCCCCTGGAGAGCTCAACCCTTAACTAAAGGAAATCGAGAGGTACGATATTTGTGGGCTCAAGATCATGTTCAGTGGTCGAATGAACAATGGGCCAATGTTCTTTTCACGGATGAGTCACGCTTTGGAATTCATCCGGATTCGAGAAGGCTTAGGGTATGGAAAGAACCGGGAAATCTTATTCGGTTGGATCATGATCAGGAAGTGCACCCTTATCAAGGTGGAACAGTTATGGTCTGGGGAGGAGTCCAGTTAGGCCGAAAAACCGATCTCGTTTTTCTTGAAAGGTTTCTAACAGGAATCCCATATCGTGATTTAAATCTTGAGCCTGTCGTGTTACCATATGCCAATGGTTTTGGGAAAAACTTCATTCTCATGCATGACAATCCACGGCCTCATACAGCCAGAATGGTAAGTGAGTTTATCAATGCTCATCAATTAAACATCTTACACTGGCCGGCACAATCTCCTGACCTCAACCCCATCGAGCACGTATGGGACGCGGTCCAAAGAAGAATTTTGAGAATGGGTATGCCTCGTGAAACTCGTAAGGATCTGGTTCGGGCCGTGAATGCAGCGTGGCAAGCTGTACCTCAAGAAGAGATCGACAACCTGATCAGGAGCATGGAGAGACAATGTAGGGCTGTAATGAACAGTAGAGGAGGCCATACCCTTTATTAAGTAAAAATGGTTTTATCTTTTTTTTAATTCACAGTTTAGAATAAAAAAAAATGTGTGTATTTTTTTGAGCTCAATAAAAATCAAGGTAAATTTGAAAAATTCGGTAAATTTCGCATTTTTATTTCCAATACGTCCTGTAAACTATTTGTTTATTTTAATTTTATTATATCAGAAATGCAAATAATAAAATTACTGACGATGGCTGGATAAAATTGTAATATCCCTAGACTTTTCCGGTGTGTGTATATCATGTCAAAAAACTCCCAGACACCAATTTTCATCTAAATGTTGACGTTACTTCAGAGACTATTATTGGAATAAATCGAAATAAAAATAAAACTTCTATACCCTGTACCTCCGAAATTAAGCGTTTTAGGAGATACATTTATGCGAACTTACTTATTTTTATCTGTAGAATATGCTGCCGAAGTTTCCGGAATACCCGGTATAATAATGCTTCACTTACCTATATGAATTAAGGTAACTATCCCCACAAAATACCTCAACATTTCGTCTAATCCTACTGGAAAAAATATGTGTCGCGAATTCAACGTGAATAACAAACCCGCACGCTCTACATGGAACAACGTTTCGTCGATTTACCGCAGCGTGACACGAAACAACAGATTCAGCGAACGCACCGCATAATTTGACATCGCCGTTGCATCAGTGAGCGGTGTTGAGGGGTGCACGAACGGCACTGGATTGCTCCTGCTGAACGGAGACCCGGCAGGACCCGGGGCGGCCACCGTGGGCGGGACTATCCAGCGACACGCCCCCCTTATAGTCTGGATGACTCTCTGGAAACCTGCGTGGTGCAAGTGGCGTAGGCTCCTAGTGGATCTTGGGAAATTAATGGATTTTTAACTTTATTTACTCCCTGTTTTTATTAGGATGTCGTACACTGTTTAGGCTTATTTTGTGATGCGGGGGTGGGTTTTTTTTCTGTAACAGGTGTTCGAGTACGGGGGGACGCATTCCAGACAGTCTGGATGAAATCGATTTTTTTTTATTTTTTATTAATTAATATGCAATTAGTCAGTTCCTTCATTTTAAAGCAGTTTTTGCAAAAATACTACCCATTTATAATATTTTTTATTTTTAAGATTATTATGGTACCTAGTGAATGTTATGGTAGTCAAACGTGAGAATGTTAGTTAACCAAAAGCTTATAGTGATGAAACTTTTCTGAAAATACATATTAAATTCCCTGTATAGGATTTTAATTATAGTTATTTTAGAAAATATGCAGTATACTCTGTTTTTTTTCTCAGGTAAAGCCGGAGTCTCATGCATCCGAAATCCGATGACACGACGATCCGACGGTGCTCCTATTGGTCGAAATATTTTGACAACAATTTTTATCCGATAATTTTAACTAATCATCCGACGTCGTATAAAGTTAAATTTTGTTTAACTTTTGTACGATATCGTGTGTTTTTTAACCTCACTTTTTTTGAAAACATTTGTTTTTAAAAACAAGTTTAGTGGGAAGTGGGCAATTTCGGGATATTTGGCGAGGAAGTTATTTTTGTAAGTGTTTCTCCAATAAAACATGACATGAATATCTATTCAGCGCAGCAGAAAAATGTTAAAACTGTCAAATTTCGGAACGAACTTTCGGATGTATGTGACAGGCTTTTTTTATTTCACACGATAACTTCAAATTTCGGATGTCGTACCATCGGATTTCGGATGCATGAGACTCCGGCTTAAGATTTCGACAGACGATGACAGAAGAAAAGCAGATGACGTCCCATACCAATCTATTTATTTTACTAAAAAAAGTTTCTAATAATTTTTAAGTTATCTATGGATGGGTTTAAATATAAATCCGTCATACGTCGTGTTTTGTTGTTTTTAACCAGTTTTATTGGTTTATTTAAAAAATGACAGATCGTATTTCAATTTTATTGGTTTGACGGAACGATGAACGACAAACGGACGCCGATGCGTATGAACTCGCCTTTAGATTTTTGTCATTTTTGACGCTTGTCAAAGTCTTGCCAAATTATTGGTTATAATTTTGTGTCAACTTTTGTTAAATACCCTGCATTTTGAAAGATGATGCATTTTGATTCGTATTATTACGTGTGTTTTGTGTCTTTTGAAGTCAAGTGGAGGAAAAATCGAGTGAAAATTAACTGTAGGCCCAGAGCACAGTTTATGGTTAATACACGCTGCCCAGGCAGAAAGTCTTATACACCAATGAAGTTGCCATCGATAAAGTTTGTATACCATTTCGTCGTAGATAAGTGCATTTCGTATATAAGGATCAAACTAAACACATACTAAAAACTGGAGTAGCTGTAAAATATCGACATCACACGATAGGTAAATAATGGATTTTAGTACTGGTGCAGAAAAATAATGTCAAAAGGTACTGGTTTAAAAAAATTAAGATTAAAGGTAATTAATCCACCTTTAAGGTATAAAATTTGGTAGGTGTTATTATTAATAAAATAGTTGTTGTATTTACCTATGTTGTTTTATTTATACCTGTGGAATATTACAAATTTGTATTTGTACATAAGTTATATTGATAAATATAATCATAAATGCGGGTAGTTTCATAAAGCTTGAAAGTAAATAATAGTTATTTTTTATATTTTTTTGGTATGTAGTGCCTTGTTCTTGTTTGTTTTGTATTAACACATACCGTTTTTATTAAATAAAATAACTCGATTACATTTTTTAGTTTTATACAGTTTTTTTCACAATATTTTGAAGTAATCACTTGTCATCTTGTCAATCAAATTTTAAATATATCCTGCAATGCGTTCCAGTTGTACCAACTTATTTCTTTGTAAAATAAAATAAACTACTTTGAAATTAAAATGACAGACACATCTATCACTGTCAAGGATCTTCTCGTTGGACAGACTTATACTATATATAATATGCAGTGGTAGGATAACACTTCTGCATATACAAGGTGGTCCGAACTGGATTCCGGAAACTTCTGCAGCATATTCTGCAGATAAAAGTAAGTGAAAAAGTTCGTATAAATGTATGTCCTAAAATGGCTTAGTTTCGAAGATACAGGGTGTAAAAATTTCATTTTTATTTCGATTTTTTCCAAATAATTTATAAAGTAACTTCAATATTTGGATGAAAATTGGTGTCTGGGAGTTTTTTGACATGAGAAATTTGATTCTGATATCAACATGACTCCTACTTGTTCGGGGCGCCACGTACATATTTTTTAACTGGTTTGAAGAGCAATAACTTTTCGTCCGTACCTGTATAAAACTACTGAGTAAGAAAATATACATTTACGATGTTTTTTACGTAAAAAAGGTATCTTTGTAAAAATCCCTAGGAGTAATGGTTCTCGAGATATTTGGAATCAAAATTATTAATACCAGTCATAATTGACATAAATTAATTATTAAATATGTTGACTAAATAGTTATTACACTGAAATCATAAATTTGAAATGTTTTTGTGCAAGAAGTTCAACAAAACCTGTTTTATCATCATTTTTTCGAAAAATTTTTGATTGATTTAAAAAAATAAAAAGTTCACTATATCTACTAAACACGTTTATTTTTTGTCAATAATGACAGGTATTGACTATTCCCATTCTAAATACCTTGAGAACGGTTGCTCCGTAGCGATTTTTACCAAGAGACATTTTTTACGTAAACAATAACAAAAATGTATATTTTTTCACTCAGTAGCTTTATACGGGTTCGGACGAAAAGTTATTGCTCTTCAAAACAGTTAAAGCACATGTAGCTGGCGCCCCCTACAAACAGGAGTCATATTGACATCAAAATCAAATTTCTCATATCAAAAAACTCCTAGACACCAATTTTCATCCAAATATTGATTTTATTTCAGAAATTATCTGGAAAAAATCGAAATAAAAATGAAACTTCTACACCCTGTATCTCCGAAACTAAGCATTTTAGGACATGCATTTATACGAAATATTTTTATCTGCAGAATATGCTTTTCAGTTCAAGCACAGATTATACAGATTATAATCTTTGTTTTTTCTTTATTGTTTTTCGTGGTTCCAATTTTCGGAATCGGGCACTAGTTAGATGACTAGTTTGCGCACATAGCACGCCCACTTATGGCCTCTAAAATTGTGCACAGCGCCTGACCGGCACAGTTATTAGAGAGATATCGGAATACCGAATAGCGTCATCCAGTATTTACGCGTACCTTATCATGGTTACGATATGCGCGAGTCAACTTTTAACGCAACACCCGCTAATAACGTTACCGCCTGACGTAATTTGCGGATCAATTACACCAAGCGCTCTTTCTAAATAACCTCTGAAAACGTTTAAAAATTGCTTAAATGGGCATGTGCGGGTATTTGACAACCGGAGCCGGCCGGCGAGATCTTTTATTTTAGGTTATGTTTGAATTGTTTTGAATTATTGCTTTAGTTTTATTTGGTAATTTGATATTTAAGTAGCTGGGATTAGTTTTAATTAAATAAATATGGCCCAAAATATGGATTCCACCTCTTCAAATACTAAAGAACCTATAAAGAGTCTTAGGTTTAGAGCAGATGACGAGCCCTTCTAAGAGAATTTGTTGCTTGTTGCCCTAAACCCACTGGCAGACGTTGAACAATAAAGCACTGGAAATAAGCACTTTAGCTCTTTCAAAGTTTTATAAATTCAAAGTTAGGTTAAGTTTAAATAGCGGACGCGACGCGATCAGAATTCTTTCCGAACCGATAACTATCAATGAAGAGAGTTAATCAGTTAATACCACCTCACGTAAAGGAAATAACACCTGGCCTTATTAACGTCCATGCACGCTATTCAGTTTAGCGATATCTCTCTATTACGCTGTTTATTGTTATTTTACGCGAGTTTATTTTTGCGCACAGGAAATTTGACTCGTTTGCACATCGTCATAAAAAACAATTTTCGTACCACGAATTAAGGACAAGATTTTTATCTGTATACTTATAGGATACCTAATCTGTGGTTCACCTAGTAGTTATCACCTATTCTTTAAGTTCAACGTTCTAAAACGACCTGAACAGAATAAAAAGAAAAACTTTCTTAATGTTCTTCTCAATTATCAAATATTTTAAAGTAAGAAAACTTCGGGGGAATTTAGGGTCGAGTAATGTAAATCGGGGCTTTACACCCTATTTTGTGCCTTTGTGCTGTCGCCGTTGCATTAGTCTATTAGAAAGGGGACCAACCCTATCATTTAGTAATCTGTAGTAATCGGGCGTGCATTAAAACATTACAATAATAGACGTGCAGTCACGAAAAATGCTCCTTCCATTAGATCGGATGGGGAGACGTAACTTAACAGCTCCATTACCGTATCATTTGAGCATTGTGCTAATGACGTTCGATTTAGGGAGGCACGAATTAAATCGATCTTTTTAAAACATCGATATTGATGAAATAAGTTAAAAATATATTTTTAAGAGCAACCCAAGTAGCATTTTCACGACTTGCGACCACATGTTTACTAAACACAACGTTGGATTAGCTACAAAAAATAGTTAGCTCCCTATCTTGGGTATTAAAATAAATTTAAACGTTTTTATAACGTTGTGCCGACGTTGGACTAGTACTACAGCAAAGTAGAAGCTTCTGCGACGTCGAATAAACGTTGTCTTGTAACCTTTTTTGCTTAAGTGATCTTCAGGTGATTCGGACAACGTAGTTACAACGTTGGACAATATAGAGTTTTCCGACGTCAGTTTCAGGACCTATTCCAACGTTATGCAAACGTCGTCTGTTTTACTAATTCCAACGTTGTTTAGATTTCCTTATTCTTACGTTGGTAGGACGTAGAGTCACTACCTTTTTGCAACTGTATTGAACCATAACCTTAAATCTTAAATTTTCAATTCATTGTTCTGTTCAGTCAGACAGTTCAGTGCTGTTTTTGTTTTTATAAAAAAAAAACTTAATTAAAATGGGACATAAGAAAGGTACATATAAAACTAAATTTAAATATACATCGACATATATTACCGACACTTCCTCGTTTATTTAGATTATAGAGGGCGGCACAAGCTAGACTCTAGAATGACTAAATTAGGCAATCTTGCGACTAGTATACTACCTGTTAAGGCCGAACTGCGACTTTATTAGTCCAGTATGCGACTACTCGAACTACTCCATCTTAATCTCCAAAACAACAAAGTTAAAGCCGCCATGTTGTTAAATAAGAAAATGTTTCGTTCTTAAAATAGCAATTCCTGCTTTTTGAATACATTAACTTGAAATATTTGACCCTAAAAAATACGCGGAAACAATTTTTTCGAATGCGAATAAATTATTCTCATTTTACTAAAAAAAAAATTCAAGAAAATTTTTAAAACTTCTTTAATTTCAAGGCCCATTAGTATTTTTTAAAGTAGAAACAATACATTTATCAATAAAGTTGTTTGCGTTTAACTTTTTACCTTGGGTAACGAGTTACAGAGTCGGTTAAAGTGTTTCAATAATTATGATCTTCAAACATCCTCCACACTTAAATACTTTTGTTTTGTTTTCCTTCACTGCCATCTGACATATGTCTCTAACTAAATCATAAAAATAATATTTTTACTATAATTATCCCAATTTAGGATAAAACGCGACTTAGACGCCATATTAGTTTTGTATTTCTGTGAATTAGGATTTTAAACAACGTTGCAGTTTGTACTAAATTAGGCTTCTAGCCAACGTCGGTATCCAACAGCGTTTCGACCTAAATATTATTCTTCAAACTAGTGCAGACTAGGGTTGGCACGAGGTTGTGCCGACGTTTGGTCGCGTGACACAACGTTGTCCCAACGTCCAAATGCTGCTTGGGAAAATAAAACGCTAATTCATGATAATACACCAAAACGCTTTACTTTTGCACTGGACGCGTGTTTCGCTAACCATGTTAGCATCATCAGCAGATGATTGACACAGTATATACAGGGTGTCCCAGAAATAAGTGCAAATATTTTAACTGGTAGTATAGTTCAACCCCAAAAACACGCCTATGAGGTTTTTTTCGCAAAAAAAAAATTTGAAAACTCGAAATTTTTTGAAAAATTTTTTGGAATTTTTTTTAGTTTTTAGTTAAAAAACATAATTTCTTGATAATATGGCAACATAGGTATTAGATTAAATTCACAAAAAAGAAAATCCAGAAAAGATCCAGTGGTTCTCAAAATTTTAGCAAAAAATTATTTTTTTTAGAGCTCATAATCTCACTTGTTATCTGACACGTGATCTCACAGGCAAATATCTAGGTAGGAGCGAAAATAATAATAATTAAAAAAAATAAGTTGACCGGCTGGTACTGAAGAGGCTGTGAAGGTACTTAATGATGCAAATCAATATGATTCAATATATCCTCATATATAGTGTTTCTGTTATGTTGATTAACCTGTAATGTAAAAATAAATTTACAAATTAGCTTTTAACGTGCCTGTAATATAAAAAAAAGTATTTTATTCTTACAGTGAATAAATAATGATTGTCATCATTCTTCCAGCGATTTAAAATACTAGAAGGTCTTTGAGTAACAGTAGCAATGATGGGGTATTTCCTATCCTTAAAGGACTGGAAGATAGCTTCTTCAAACCGTTTACTGAGTAATTCCATTTTACCAATTTCATCGATTATAAGAATATCTTTATTCTAAAAAAAGTGTATATTTAAATCTATGAAAATTAAACCGTTATACAGGGTTAGCTAAAATTACAATTATTTAAATTTGGGACTTTATTTTCAAAAACGGTTCACATTAAAAAGTTTACATACAACCCACCAACCATACTTTTACCCTCAACATTTAATTCGCGCACTTAGAAGAAAATTGTAAATTGAAAAAAAATGTAGATTTAAACCCCTTTGTAGCTTGGAAACAAAGCAGAATCGGATCTATGTTGGTATGAAAAATAAATTTAAATTTTACGTGAGGAATCCCCACACGAGAGATGGCAAATGTTGGCAGAAACTTGGTTGAAACACCCTGTATAGGTATGACATACCGTGCTGGCAACTGTTACTTTTGGGTGTATAACAGTAATGTTAAGAAAGTTTTTGAAAAAACTACAATCAATTGTTTTTAATATGTGAATATTTCTTTCTCTCTAGTAACCACTTTTTACATCATTTTCGCTTTTTGATTTCCTTTTGTTCATCATCTTTATCTATCAGCAATACCGCAGCTACAAGCACGGCAGCTTTCTTCTTTGAAATTCTTGACATAACGGTAGCCCTTCTCGACGAAAAGTGAATAAGCTGAACTGCGCAGTACAATGTGTTGCATCGTGTGTATAGAAAATGGCTGTACTACAAGCCGTACGATTTTCTTTACGATCTGCAGTTCAACGCGCAGTACGATAAATCGTTACGTGTGTAGGCCGTTTTAGAAATATGCACAGTTTTTCGGTTTATTTCATATGTTTGGCAACGTGTTTACTGTTTTCTCTTTGTTCAGTACATTATAAACGCATTTTACTCTTCTTACATACGGAAATCTCGACCCAAGACTAACCTTTGCCAGCTGTTAGTATGAATATGGTATGAATAATATACTTGGATATTTAGGTAGGTACCACAGCTTATCCGCTACCAGCTGTTCGCATGTTACGTTTGCTTAAATTTAGTATTCCCAAAATTGTTTTCATCTACCGCACCTGTTATCGTACCCATACCAACACTCAGAACGTCAGTCTCCGTTATATTAAAAGAAGTTTCAATAGAACTTAGAACCTGATATATTACATAATATAAGCGAATATCTAAATAGGTACGCTGATTTCCATACAAATGATCGGGAGTCGGCAAGCTGGTTACGAATAGACTGTGATTACGTATTTCGCATGAAATCAGTTTTGTCAACTACTGTTAACAACTTCTGAGCTCTTTTACCATTTACCAGAGCTTATACTTACAAAGTTGGTAAGCATTGGCATGACCATTTCTTCAAAGTCTTGTACACATACCATGTACTTTCCAACCATATGAGTGCCGATGCCATAAGAATTGTCGCTGCAAAGTACAAATTAATTTTAATAATATTCGTATAATAATTCTACAGAACATATTAACAAACACTTTCTTTGCCAAGATGCCTGTTTGGCCGGAATTCAACATATGAACAGAGAATCCGATACGTTCGTTGGCTTCATTTCTTATTTCATCTGTATAAAATCCATCAAACGTTACATTTCTACCTCGTAAATTATCAGTTATTTTTTTGATTGTTGTAGTTTTACCGATACCTAAAACCAAGAATTTTTTAATGGTTAATGAAGGAGCATATAGGGAACAATGTTAGTCATCACATACATGATTGTAAATGTGAAAAAATGCAGGAAGTGATTATTTAAACTTAAAATTACAAAATTTAACAAAATAATTAAAACAAAATAACTACAGCCTATTCATTAAACAGCCAGTCGATTTCGCAAATATCAGACCCGCACTTCACCTGCTGCGCCAGAATTGGCTGGTAAATATCGTATGATCGAAAAAAAAAACGGCGTCAACGATAGCTATGAAATGAAGATCTTTGTCATTTTATACGTAAAATTATATGGGGAACAACTAGACTTAATGTCATTTGTTTTTCGATAATACATTAGATCGTATGACCGAAAAAAAACGGCGTCCAGTTGTCTGGGAAATGACGATCGAGGACATTACCCATATAAATTTACATATCAAATAACAGCGATCTTGACTTCATAGCCATAGCTGACGCCGTTTTTTTTCGATCATATTGTATACTAGTACAGTAGGTATAGGTAGTAAGTAGGCATATAGGCATTCAATCACGAAATATTAGTTTATTATTATTAGTGATATTGATATTATAAGGGGATATTATTAAATAAGGATTAAGGTAGACAAGTATAGTTGAAGTATAGGCAACTAGTTATACACTTTCATTATTGTTCTTTTAGCATTTTTATCTGTGATTTTTATGATAGCTACATAACGAATGCTTCATCTACTTTTTCAATTAAGAAGATTCCAAATTAGAAAATTGCACCTGATTGCACGTCGAAGTACCTACTAATTTACACTTAAAAAATCATTAAACAGAAATCAACCCATGAATGACAATCTGTCATACTCACATATTATATTGTTTTTGGATATTGCATAAAAAAATCAAAATATTTCTGAAAGAACTACTGAAACGTTTCGATTGATATTGTATTTTCTATTTCAGATATCAATAATTTGTTTTTATGGCTTTACGAGTGGATTTTTAAAAAGTTCAAAAATTTACCTGGCCATCCTGTGATCAATATGTTTTTCATTGTTTGGTAAAATAGATGCTTATATCAGTTATATTCTTAGGATAATTCTTAGGAACCGTGTGAAATTGAACTTCTCAGTTTCTCTATTACAAAATTCTATATAAATTCCAAAACCAGCAGTTTTCTCTGATTAACCAGGATTTATTAATAACTCTTTAAAGGGAAAATACTATAACAATGTTGCTTGAACAAAATTATTTACAAAAATAGTTTTTACGTCCACATTAATTTGCTAGATATATATTTATATTATAGCTACAAATAAACTGTTAAGTTGCACAATTATATCTAATTGAATAGAACCCATTTATTCTAATATATTATTTTTTATGAACAAATTAAAACATTTTCATAATTTCTTTAAGTTAAAAACCCGAATATATTATACAACCAATTAAACAATTCTGTAAAACGTCAAAGTCAAAATCCAATGTCAAAATCCTAACCTATTTTTTAAAAGTTTGATTCAATGCACAATTCAATGTTTAATTTTGTTTTGTGATTTGAGCGTTTCGATTCGTTTTAGTTGTTTTAGATTTTTCTTTAGAGATTAGAACAATGTCTGGTGGAATGCTGTACGGAGGCGATGAAATTGGAGCGTTGGTTTTTGATCCAGGGCATCATTCACTTCGCGTAGGATACGCTCAAGAAGACACACCAAAGGCTGAAATACCGGCTGTAGTCGGTGTAGCTCCTGACGAAGCTATTAAATTAGAAGCAGAGTCTAAACCTGACGATAGTAATGTTTCGTCTCAATCACGTACGTATTTATAATATTTCACAACAACCATTTTCTTTTTTGTATCAATTGAAATACGTAATTTGGATTTGCCTCTTTCTTTCAATAGCTTTTATATAAATAATAAAATAATGTTGAATTAATGTCTTTTAGAGCATAAATATTATATTGATACTACATTTCTACATACCCCACGTGTCAATATGGAGCTGCATAGTTATATGAAAGATGGTATGATAGAAAATTGGGACATGTTTGAAAAAATATTGGATTATTCTTATGACAAAGTAAAACACAAAGCTTATTAATTATATATTTACTTAATGTTTTCATTTAATTTATTTAGATTATACAGTCAGAATCTCATTACCATCCGGTGCTTTTCTCAGAATCTCCTTGGAACCAGCGACAAAAAAGAGAAAGATTAACAGAGTTAATGTTTGAAAAATACAAAGTACCTGCATTCTTCTTAGTTAAAAATGCAGTGTTGGCTGCTTTTGCTACCGGTAGGGCCACTGCTTTGGTTATAGACAGTGGTGCTACACACACAAGTGCTGTTCCAGTGTTAGACGGCTATGTCATATCAAATGCTGTTGTAAAATCTCCTTTAGGAGGGGACTATTTAATATTAAGGTAAAATATATGATTTGATTATGTGTTAAATAATTTAAAAAAAAAATGTTATTAGAGCTCGAGAAATGCTTGAACAAATGGGAATTGACTTAACACCTGCAGCTCTAATTGCCAGCAAAGATGTTGTTAGGGATAAAGATAAACCTAGGTTTGTTAAAAAGAAATTGTCGTTTCAACCTTCCAATTCATGGATGACATACATGGTCAAAAAAACCGTACAAGATTTTCAGCAATCTGTACTTCAGGTAAATTAAATACATACTAATATAACTATAAAAAAAATAAATGTATCTTTAGAGTCACAAATATTTGTCTATCTTTTAACGTTTCTCTATACTTGATATCAAGAGCTACTGTCGAAATTTTTAACATCAACTGAAATGCACAAAGGACTGTTCGATCGCGTCAAATCGCCGCTGTCCTAGTCGCCGTGGAATGCTACGTCACGCGCTGACCAGCGCTCCACAGTGCGGCGGATGGTTATTCTAGCGGGACAAAATCTCAAGAGCAATGTTTGGGACTTAAAATCTAAGAACGTAGCAAATGGTCTAATATATAGCAACTATATGGTTAAATTTATTTATTTATTAACAACTTAATTTATTAATAAATAAATACAAGATAATAAAACGATATGATATTATTCGTACATGATACACAAAAACCGTATTGTAAACTATTGCCAAATACATAAAATTATGATATCAAAAAACTCTTTAGCAGTTATTTTTAAATTAATTTGTAATCTTGTGACACCCTCTATAATTTATTTTAAAAAAATATATTTTATTTTGAAAATAATAAATAAGATAGATATTTTAATTTTAATTTTAACACTCGGTAATTGTAAATTCATATATTAAGTATCTAAGACAATTTTTTAAACTCAGTGCCTTTTGATGGAGTTGTTTTGTTTTTATACTATCCGATTGAAATGAATCTTTTTGGGCATTCACCTGTTAAGCTTGAACTCCCTGTGACTGCGACTACCTGTGTTGGTAACTATTGGTAACTCAAAAGATCTACATCATTCAATATATCGATATTTGAAAAAAAAGTGTAAGTTTGATATCTGCAGAACAAAGGCACGAAGGATTTTAACAAATAATATACATACAGTAGAAAAGTACATACCTTTGGCAATCTTCAACATAATTTGGCTTTCTAATAAAATGTATAAGCATTTGTAAATATTTTGTTTTCGTATGATCTCTGCCTTGCTGAGCAGAAAACGACCAAATTTGGTTGATAAAAATGTATCGAAATACAAAGAATATTCATGCATTTTTGTATCAATTGGAATGTCTACTATTTATTCTTATCAGTACACATTTTTTGGCTTATTTCTAACCAAACGCTTTTGTCCCGCTAAATTTATCTTCCAACGCACTGTGCGCTCGTCCGTTAAACGCAAAAATAACTGTCACTGTCTAAAATCTTTAGCGCCAACTTCAACTCGGTCAGTAGATGACGTAAAAAAACTGACAGTGCAGGAAGATAGGAATCGAACTATAGGTAATTCAAAATAAGATCGCAGCGCCATAGCGGCGACAACTCGTACTAATCTATGGGCCATTCCGCATAATTTCGCCATTTAATTGTTTTCTTGTGGTTTGCGTTGTGTGTTTGATGTCTGTTTTCGAGTTTTTTTAGTTGGTTTGGGACAGTTTTGTGATTTGTGAACATTTATTATTTGTTAAAAGACTTCGGTTTTCATCATGCGATTAAGCATTTTGGAATATATGCGGTATTTGGACGGATCCACACATTCCAAATGTGTGGTTGAAGGGGAAAATGTCCTTAATGCAGGGCATTTAATTTTGGTTGGAAAAACCGAATTCACAAGCGACTGGATTAATGTTTATGGCTTGTGTTTACAATCCAGTGCCATTAATTCGGATCCAATGAAATTAAGGGAACTTTAACCACTGAGGAAGCCACTGTAAAGATTAAAGAAATGCATTGTTCTTGTAAAGCCGGTAACAGTGGTAAATACAAACATGTTTCGGCCGTTCTTGTAAAATGTGTCAGGCAAAATCAACATTTTTAGTTTTATTTTTGAGTTTGATTGCTATTTATTTGTATTTTGTTTAGAGAGGACATTGAGAGTTTAAAAAAAATATCTCCAACTGACATAAAATGTGTTTGGTCAACACAAAAGGTAGTTACCAAAGAGCGATATAAGCCTATTCCTGTAGATGAAATGCCCTGTTTTATTTATAGACAAGGTAAAACATTCCAATATTGAAACGGATGACAATGGAATTAGGACCTTTTTTTGCCAAAACCTGCCAAACTCTGCTATGTACATGCACAGAGTAGTAACTAGTTAATTAAATAAAAAATGTGTGTCTATATAATGGTAGTATTTATTTTTATGTCAATAGGTATAAAGTAAAAATATAATGTATGACTAAAAATAACATGCAAAAAAATATATGTATATTATTAAAAAAAAATAAGTACCAAAACAAGTGAAAAAAAATATCACTACCCAATAAATCGTTAATAATAATATAATAAGTTGTGTTAATAATAATATAAAAAGGCTTTCTCTAAGGCTTGCGACTGTGTAAATCATAATATCTTAATTAACAAATTGCAAAACTATGGATTCAGGGGAGTGCCGCTCGAATGGCTTAAGTCGTATCTTGGCAACAGAAGGCAGCTTGTGAGGATTGATACGTCTATGTCTTCTTGTAAGCTATAGAATGTGGTGTCCCTCAGGGTTCAGTACTTGGCCCTATTTTATTTCTGGTGCGCATCAACGACATTGCAAATCTAGACATTAGCGGTAAAATCTGCCTCTTTGCGGACGATAGTTAGTTTCACTGGAGCGGCCCAGATGTTACGCTTACTATATGATACTATATCGCAGGTGTCACGCACCATTAAATCTTGGTGCGATTCTAATCTCTCTATGCCTCAACCTTTCAAAAACTAAAGTTTTGTCATATAAAAGTACTATACAACCTTTTTGTACTTAATAACACCACTATTGACGTCGAGGACTCGATCGTGAGATTCTTAGGACTGTTGTGGACAACTCTTTAAAATGGGACTTGCAACATCGAAGCCTTATCAAAGAAACTAAGCTCTGCCTGTTTTGCGCTAAGATCAGTGTCTAAGGAACTTAACTCATCAACCTCTAGAATGGTCTATTCGCTGCCCCTCTTTTTGAGTCGCATCTTCGTTATGCCCTTTCATTCTGGGGTACTTGCTGCGCGACAAAATTTGATCGTATTTTCAAACTTCAAAAGAGAGTAGTTCGACACGTATTGGGACTAAATAGTAGAACTCACTGCCAGAATTTCTTTAAAATTTCAAAATACTGACTCTTCCTTCCTTATTCATTTTTGAATCTAACTTGCTTAATCCGCAAGCACATATTCTCTATTCCGGAAAGGCCTTCTCACAACTATCCACTTAGGGAATGCGGAGCACGATATTTATCTGCTAACCCCGAGCTCAGAACTAGTTAAGGGGCTCAATACTGTACAATGCCAAGAAAATGTACAATCATTTGCCTTCTCGAATATCAAGTCACTTTCTTATTCTCTCCCGCATTTCACAAAGCTCTGAAATCATACTTACTGGAGAGAGCCCTATATGCGGTAAACGACTTTTTATTGATGTTTAATCATGAACAATTCAACCATATACGAGATGCGCTTATCTACGACGAAATGGCATACAAACTTTATCGATGGCAAAATTTTTAATTTTAATATTTTGATCATCGCACACACTGGTTAAAGGTCTAGTATTTAATATTTTATAACTCTTGATTTTATGTTATTATAACATGATTTTATCCATTTACAGTTTTCCTTTTGTAAAATTTTCTAGATACGCCTGTGTTCTGCAATGTCCATATATGTTTTATTTGTAATTTTATGACGTAAATTTTTTTTTGAATTGATTTGTATTGTATGAAATTTTTTGTATTTTTTGTATTATTTGTATATTTGTTTTTGTGCTTTTTTTGTTTTGCTTTGTCGATGAAGCTGTTTTGGCTTTTTGTACAATAAAGCGTTTTTTTTTCTTTCGACAATCCTTCCTTTGGAAACGAATCTCGGGGTTTTTCTTTGCCCAAGAATTACACTTTGGCACACAGCAATAATGATTCATATTTATTTAATTTCAAACGAAAAGCACAACATAAAACACAAAGAATAAACGGGAAATAAGAGTCGTCAGCTTCGAACAATGCAAATCAATAAAAGGAATGGCCCATACGATAGTTCGAAAATTCGGGCGTAGAGGGCGTATCGCTTAGCATGAATTGCGTATCCTTATCTCTATAGTATCCTTGCCACGCCTATACATTTTATTTATTTTTTATCCCACTCATTTATCATTGTATATTTAGGTTTCAGAAAGTCAGTACGATGAAAGGGTAGTAAGTAACATTCCATCTGTACATTACGAATTTCCAACTGGTTATCATCAGGATTTTGGTACCGAGCGGTTTAAATTAGCCGAAGGATTGTTTGATCATGCAATGTTGGGCGCCGGTTACATAGGTATGACATGGGTGACATAATTCGGTTTCTGCATCACTAAATTAAAATTTTCAGCTGCTACAAGTGCAGGAATGTGCGATGTTGATATTAGACCAGCCTTATACAGTTCGGTTGTGTTAACAGGAGGAAATTCTTTGGTACAGGTATAGTTTACATGCTATTTAAATTTATATAAGTGAAATTACATAGTTTTTTTTTCATTTTAAGGGCTTTAGTGACCGTTTAAGTAGAGACTTGTCAGTTAGAACTCCTAGTTCAGCAAGATTGAAAATGATAGCTGCTAATGGATCTGTGGAGAGGAGGTTTGGCTCCTGGGTAGGTGGATCAATTTTAGCAGCAATCGGTACATTCCAACAAATGTGGATGTCTATGCAGGAGTACCAAGAGTCAGGCAAATCCCAAATTGACAGAAAGTGTCCTTAAAAAAGCTAAACAATTTTTTTAAACTTATTTTTGTATTGATATATTTTTTAACAATGAACTTTCTTTTTATATGAAAATTGTAAAATTATAAAACAATTTACGGTTGTGATCTTTTTAGATTTTCCGTCATGCTATAGGGAAAGTGTTTTAGTTGTAAAATGACGGTAGCATGGTTAATTAATTATTAAGTCAATGAGCATAGACAAACTAACAAAAGCAAGACGCGTCAACGCTGTACTGCAAAACGGTAACAAGTTTGATAAGTGTTTATTACCGCGCTTGCGTCAACTGGCCTTTTAGACGAGGACGGTTTACTTATGGATTGTGTATTTGCTTGAAATTGTAGCGCAGGAAGCAAGGATGTTTGGTAAAGCGTTTATTAAAATCAAATAGAAATTTATTTCCATCGGTAAAATAAACAATAACTTCTGGACATAACAGATATAAAAAGTTAAATGCGGCAAAACGTATTTCTCTTATTAGAATAACAAAAGATGGTAAAAACAACAGTTATGGTAAACGGAATAAAAGCATTATTCTTCAAAGGGTACGAAATAATTATATATTTATAATATTTTTTTTTAATTTTTGCTTGTAAAATATACAACTTTTTTAAGTATAAACTGCATTTTCACAGAATTGAAAATATATCAAAAAAACATTTTTTAAAAATTATTATAAAATGAAACACGAAAATTTAAATCCTTAAAAGATTAAAGGAATGCAGATTCTTATAACTTACGGATCCAATTTGTAGGACCTTCGGTTTGTCTACGTTAGCGATGCAATCACAATAATATGTATAATCACAGTACAATTATTATATTTCTTCATGATATAAAATATAATAGAATTGTTTTGTTTTCGTTTTGTACGCTAATAAAGATAATAGTAATAATAAACAAACACAAAATCAGAATTCAACAGTTCTTTCAAGGATGGTTCAAGGCAAAAACGTTTTCGTTTTATTTGGGTTAGTTTGACGAGTGCGACTGAGCGATGATTTCTGACTCAACTGGCCTTCAAAGAGCAATGGTCGACTTTATAATCTTGCTGAAGAGTCTTGCTTTTGTTGATTTATCTATATAGTCCAGTAAGGATATGTACACGTGGCATTTTTAGTGATGTTTTCAAAGCGTGATTTATAAATACAGGGAGTGCTAGAAAGTTCGCAACAATTTTTTAATTATTGACTTTTTAAAATTTTATATAATTTATATGATATGTTTAATAGATGTTTTAAATAACTTTTTTCTTAATGTATATCAGTTAACTAGCAATACACGATGGGAATTACAAAAGGTACCTCTATCTACGGGGTGCGATCTCAAAAGTGAAACCACTTCATAACTTTTAATTTTTTTAAATTAATTTAAATCAACGTTTTCTAATTATGAAACAAAGTTCCTAAAATATGGAAAATTACGACCTTAACCCCCAAAACTAATGCTCAAATCAAATCGACTTGACTTGTTTGAAAAGAATTGATGTTTTATTGTGTCATCTGTTGACAATTTGAAATTAGCGCGCAGAGCCTTTCGACCAATGGTGCCGTTATCACGTTCACGACGTAGTGACGACCAGCCTGCACCGTATCCTTCTTGTTTTCTTTGTATCATGGTACTGTACTCAGTGGGATTGTTGACTTATTGTTAGTTTTGGCTACTTCCTGTTTCACCGGAAATGACTACAAGTTTTCATTTTTAAATGGCACTCTCCGACTCCGCACACTACTTTATTTGATAGAAAATGACACATCCCAGAGGATATATGCGTTATGATAATGACATCCCAGAGGATATATGCGTTACTATTAAAGGACATGTTTACTGTTTAATGTGCTCAAACGTCTAGAACTATCGGCAACGTCGCTGCTAGTCTTCCAGAATGAAATGAGCCGTCCGTCCCACCACTTTATAGCGTACTACGTTTAGCTTACGGTGTGTTTGAAGTCGGAATCAAATTGAACTGATCTGCCAAAGTGTTTTGCAAGTAATTTTTGTTTTGTTTAACGTGCTGAGATACCCAGGGTGCAAACATGAATTTTGACAGTGTCAGATATATTATTGGAAAAATAGAAGCTCAAATTACCCGAATTTGTCTTTTCACGGGTAGGTATTGTTTCCGCCGCGCCGTAATCATAGGCGTCCCACAGGGAGCCTCTCACAATTAAAAAGATAATTTCCTAATTATATTTTGTTGAATTTGATCTAATGAAACAAGAACCCCGTAGTAGCGGTGTTGGTGGTTCGTCTCAATTACTACCCAACTGTTGTAGATCATAACAAATTTGAATTTTTTTTGTTTTAAAAGTTGAAAGTGACATTTTTTTCTTAAAATTGCGTGTTATTTTTGGTCATTACTATATTCTAAAGGAATTTTTGCTCAACAAATAAACAAGGTGTTTACCCGACCCTTTTTACATTTTACTGCTTTATCTGCCCCTTCGGCCTTGTTTAGACAATTTTACCGCAATACAAATACCTCTTCCTAGAGTTGTTTGTACGGTGTGTTTACCTTCTTTTAGAATGGGACGAACTGTAAATAATTCTTGGGCTACTAGTTTTATACAAACCTATATACAGGTGACCCTTGAAGAGCATTTACCTATTACGTTTTGGTTTGTGGTTTTATTTCAATTTTTTGCATAAGATGGGGGCCATTGTAACGCACTTGCATTTCAAAATATTTTTTGTCAACATACAGGGTGATGCAAACCGCAATACATATGCTTAATACAGTTCATGAAAATTGGGACATTTAACTAAAATTTGATTATCTGATGGAGCTACCTTTAAAAGTATGGATTTGTAAATAAACGTAATATTCATTATTATGCGACGGAAGTCAATACTGCAACACGGTTTGATGCTTGGTAGAATGCAACTATTTAGGACTAAAAGAACTGACTGCCTCGCGTCAAACCATCATAATACCAAGAGACCGAAGCGCATACAATGCTTATATTTTCCTTGTCTTTACCTTGTTGATCGAAAGACCTTGTCTTATATTTTCAAAAACTTTTTTTTTTTTTTTTTTTAGAAAAAAATTTAGTAATACAAGATTAAGATTAAACAACTATTACACAGTACTTCACAGGAAGCTATTGATTGCGATTAACTAACTAAATCGTTACTAAATTACTAATTTTGAAAATTTCTTTTTTAGAATCAAAAAAGAATTAAAACTAGAACCCTAAACTATCATTTGAGATTAAACGGGGAGTTCTAAATAATGTTGCCTATTCTAAACAAGAAAATTTATTTTATAGGACTTATAACATCCTCTAGTCGTTTGGACGATAATAATATTTCTGTTTGCTATTGGTAATTTTCTCAGGGAAAATGCGTAAATAAAAATGACTTTAAGTCAAAATACAAATTATTTAAAAAGAGACTGTCCTTTTCAAAAGGACGAATTGGCAACAGGTATTTCAGGAATGGAGTTATTGTAGATCACAACTTTAGTTTGAAAATATGTTTTTTTTTATTAAATTTATAAAATGTCTAAAATGCTTTAAATAAAAAAAAAAAAAAAAAAAATTGAAAGAAAAATCACCAACCACAAACCTAATATAGAATTTTTTTTTTTTTTTACTGTAAATATTAAAGTAACTGAAAGTTTATACATATAGAAGTAACTGAAAGTTTAAATTGAAAATCGACGTTAGAGTGATTTTCGAAAACTACCACTAACGTTTCAACATAAGTATATATGTGGGATATTAATTATATTATTATATTAGACCTTATAACAAAACTCATCTAAAGAAAAAGTGTTAATGTAGTATATTAATATGGAATTATAAATTTTACTTGATTAATTTACTTTTACTTTACTAATTAAATGCTTTCCAAAAACGATACGCCACTGGCCATTAGAGCAATCCAAATGCGCCTAGTTGCAGGGGTCGGAAATTTTAGACTTCTCTCTCTCTTCTGTCCTTGTTTGTACATTGGAATGTTTGATACACTTCCAACGAGTTTTTATGAATGAGATGTTCCGTCTATCTTTATAATGTCTTTGTATAGATTGAAATTTAATATACAATTTTTTTTGCGACAAAATGTAGAGAAGTTGACGTATAATATGTCATTTTCACCATCGAATAAATTAAAAATATGCCGAGGGGCCGATTAAAAATCAAAGTTACTTAGTCATTTCCAGTGCGTGGGAGTGACTAAAAACTAATAGTATGTAGTCAATCTTTAATTTATGTCATATGCTAACATATCAAACCTCGTTTTTATCTGAAAAAATAAAAAAGTTAACAGAGGGGTGGAACCCACTTTAAGAACTTTTACCAATTTATGCACAAAGTGGTTAGGTCCATAAAGAAAAGAGACAAATTAAAATATCAGTTCTATTTAGTATCGGCCAATGTTTGGCACTGAGTTTCATGATATAGAGTTTAAAGAAAATATGGAGTTTCAATTATTTTTGGAGAAAAGAATCATTTTGAGGAACTTTGCCACACTGTACGTTAAAATTTAGTTTATCACAGATTCAGTACCTGCTATATATACATACAGATAAAATCTTATCCCAATACATTGGTATGAAAATTGTTTTTATGACGATATGCAGACGAGTATAATTTCCTGTGCTTTGCTGAAAATAAATGCTTGTGAATAACGTGGCTAGCTAATAGAGAGATATCCTTTAAATAGGTGTGATACGTGGACGTTAATAGGGCCAGGTGTTATTTCCTTTGCGTGAGGGGGTATTAACTCTCTTCATTTATAGTTATCGGATCGGAAGAATTCTGTTCGCGTCACGTCCGCTATTTAAACTTAACTTAACTAACTTTGAACTTAAAACTTTGGTACTTTATAGGTAGGTGTTGCAGGCCCAAAGGGCTAAAGTTCTTATTTCCAGTGCTTTACTGTTCAAAGTCTGCCAGTGGGTTTTAGGGCAACAAGCAACAAATTCTTTTAGAAGGGCCAAGTCGTCATCTGCTGTAAATCTAAGCCTCTTTATAGGTTCTTTAATATTGAAGGAGGTGGAATCCATATTTTGGGCCCATATTTATTTAATTAAAATAATCCCAGCTAAATATCAAATTACCTAATCACTAAAACTAAATAATTCAAAACAATTCAAACATAACCTAAAATAAAAGATCTTGCCGGCCGGCTCCGGTTGTCAAATACCCACACATGCCCATTTAAACAGATTTTTAAACGTTATTTAGGAATAGCGCTTGGTGTAATAGATCCGCAAATTACGTCAAACGGTAACGTTATTAGCGAGCGTTGCGTTAAAAATTGACTCGCGCATATCGTAACCATGATAAGGTACGCGTAATTACTGCATGACGCTATTCAGTTTTGCGATATCTCTCTAATGACTTTATTGCCGATCAGGACGCTGTACTATTTTGAAGACCCACTTAAATTGGGCGTGCTATTGCCTGAAGCAGATCACTAACTAGTGCACGATTCACGAAAATTGGACTGAAAAACAATAAAGAAAAAGCTCTCTAAAGTTTGTAAAAGTAAAACGCCACGAATGTTTGGGAGTGATTCATCGGTCGCTACATTGTGAACTAATCTGTTCATGGTCACATAAAGCTTAATTCCAGTGCCGTGGTGTTTCAAATCATGTGTCCCAATATAATCTATTTGGCAATTTGTTGTTGTTTAGCTATCCAAGTCCGTGTCCAAACATATATTTGGTTACATATGTGACCTGCTGAATAAAGAGACAGGAGGAACACTTATTCTTTCTCCATGTATTTATGCATGTTGGGCGGAAAAAGCGCCATGAAAGCACTCTAGGGTGGGGATCCTTGACAGTTCTGTTTGACGATTCATTTTGATTCATTTGACACATTTGAATTTGGTTGGAAATTTTGTGGATTTGTCAGTCTTTACAGACTTATTTTATAATTTATTTATTATTTATTCTACTATACTGATAGTTACAGCCATAAAGGTAGTAAATCTAGATGGTAATTGTGGCAGCACTTAAATTAATAGTGACACTATCGCAGTTATCGAAAAGACTCTAAAATAGTTTAGTTTGTGTAGCGTGCGAGTAGATCTAAGCAAACGGTAGGTGAAATAATGGAACAACTTTTCCTTTAGTAAATTTGACTATATAGTAACCACATGTAGTAAAACCGATCATTTATGAAATTCAAATAATTAAAAAAAATATGTACATTTTAGCTTTTATTTGTATTACTTGTCAAAGTTTAGATACGTTATTTGGCTATAGCCAGTAGCGTATCGGATGTTTGTGATAATGCGTACTTATTATAACTTATCTATTTTTATTGAATTATATTTTTATAACAATTTTAGCCAACACACTAACATTTATTATTCAGCGTAAAATAAAGCAACGGGTATTTGGTCTACCCCACGTCTACTACATCATAGTTTTACATTTTTAAAATAAAATTAAGGACATTTTTTCAGTAAACCAGATTTAAGTCGAGGCCCTTATTTGGGGCTAATCACTTGCGGATTGTACCCTAAGATTTTGTCTCCTTCCTTAGTCATTTGCTATTCAAAGGTAAATATAAACTGGAATGCATTGGTCGCACTGCAAGAACACCAATGGACTGACACAAAAACGAATCAATCAGATAACTGATTATAGTATAGTCTTTTATTAAAATCCAATAAACATTTTAGAATAAATTACTGGGAGGCGCAGACGAGATGATTAGACCAGACCTTTAAAAACCTACGTCTTTTTGGTAAAATTTACATTTTTAATGTAAAAAATATTAAGCCCTTGCTGGTATCGATTCTTCATCAAACGATGGAATCATGAAACCCATTCATTTTATATCTGTATAATCCCTGTGGTTTTATGGCAAGATATGCACTACTAAATTTATAAGTTCTCCACGTTTCTATATTATTATGGCACCCAAACGGTTTATCTCATCACAATGAAAAATGAGAGGTAAAAAGATTTTTATACCTATAGCAGTGGAAATAAGTTTGAAATCATAGGTACAGCTTTCAGTGAAGCTATTATTAATAAATTATAAATAAAAGTTTTTTTTTTTTTTTTTGAAATTAAAATTTATTTTTAAATGCAAACTTAAATTATAATTTATCTAATTGTGTTTTTCGCATATAAATGAGTGTAAATATAAGTTAACAAAAAAATGTAAAATTAGGTTTCAACATCACTCAGTGAAATAATTTTAAAGTAATTAAAAATATACTGTTTTTAAAAATGTAATGGAATTTGGATTACATCAATATTTACTGGGTGTAAGTGTTAAAAGACAAATAAATATCGGGATTGTTTGCAGAAACATCACATTTATGCTAGTGTGAAGTACATGTTTGTGTATTATAAAGTGCCGAAATCATATACACTTACGCAGATAATACCGTATAACTGTTGTGCATGTGATATTTCACAAATTTCAAAAAGGAAAAAGATGAATTTTTTATCTTATGTCTTAAAACCTACAGAAAAGATAATCGACATACTTTGGATTGAATTTGTATGCTAAAGTTATATACCGTAAGTGTTAATACATGATTTGGAAGGCTACAGTGTGTTTGTAAAATTAAAACCAATGCAGCTTGGGAAGCTGGGTTGGGGTCTTTTCCGGATCTTTTGGTTATATTTATCCTAGTGAACTCTTCCGCTATTGTTGGGTGAATGCCAACAGTGCTCATTAAAGCATTTACAGTTAAATTGCACCTGAAATGTACACGTAAAATAAAAAAAATGTTAAAGCATGGCCTAGTTGACGCCTTGAATTAAGGTAGCGTTCAGGTGGATTTGCGGATTAGCGCTAGACCTATTTTAAATCAGTTTAATTTAAAGATCCCACCAGCGCGTTCAAACGTTGATTGAAGAAAGGAAATAAGAATATGCGCAACCTTATTAGCTATTCGTGGCACAAAATATCTCCGATATGTAGCGAGATTTGAACAGCTCTGCGCCGCGCATGATATTCATTTACAACAGCTGGTAAAGGATACTATTGCCCAAAGGGACTGGCCTTGGGCCCGGCAATGGATTTCTAGGCATAGGAATTACACGCATTGGAATGAAACGCCTATAAAAGTCTATGCTTAAACAGGGATGGACAACAACTTCCCCGTTTTCACTTCCACTACGACTGTCTGCTTAGACAAACTCCAATAAGATAAAAAAATTTGGAAATTCCCGCCACCTCCCAATCCACTCAATTACCATCTCACCGCGCGCATCGCCATTATTTTATTACCCTTCCCGCGCCTCCGCACCTCGCTATTCCGACTTCCGTCAGTTTATCACAGAGTTGCCAGGTCTACTGGTTTCGTCTGTAAGCTAACGATCTACCAATTTAAGAAAGAATCTAACAGTACTGTTCAGCTGCGTCTTTGGTTTTGCAATGAAGCGCTGAAAGCTGGAAGCTTATTTGTTTAAAGAATTCCGGCAGGCTACCGCGGTGGAATCTACATTATAATCAGACTTTATTATTTTGACTTTGAAATTAGAATTTTGTTTGGTAATAACACACATGAGGGTGTAGGTTAGGGTGAGGACTCGTTTCGCAAAGAATGTATTACTCTTTATTAGGCGTGGTATTGGCGACATGTCCGAAGAAGTTGATATCTTTTTGAAAGATTTTTATTTTATTTTTTTTTTTTTTTTTTTTATTTATTTTTTGTGTTAAAATTAAACAAAAACAAAATTTAAGGTTTAAATGTTCGACCTAAGATTCGGACAAATGGCAGTGATTTCTCGATGAAAATATATTAATACAGAAAAAAAAAGAGGTTGAGAGTTGCTACAACTTTCCATTAGTGAAATTCAGTTTTAGATATCGCGATCAAAGATTTCGAGGTAAAAAGTGACTACTACACTAATTTGTGACTGCTATGCTTTTGTAGTTTTATGTTTTGTTAACCTATTATTATTGTTTAATTCAATTGGTATTTAATATCGAGTAAATATACCTAGCTATTTCTAATTCTTGTTATATTTATTATATTTATGTATTTTATTTTTTTTTTTTTTTTTTTTTTTTTTTTTTTTTTTTTTTTTAATAATATATTTTATTTCGTTTCCGTACTTAGTTTTGTTGAGATCTGCGGTTTTTTCTCGTATGGAATTATAGTCTAACAAACCCGGCAACTCTGTTCGTCTACTCCTTATAAAGTTTTTTTCGGTCTAACTCCTTTGTCACAGCCGCGGCTTTGTGAAACGCCGCCGCCGACCGACCTGTGTCGGGGCGACTGCTAGGAAGATCGTTGCCATTTCATAGAATTGTACTTGCTATTTTAGAAATGATATAAAGGATTTTACGTAATTTACTTTTCGTTTTAGAAAGAAGTTGTGTTATGTGCCTAGGGAAAACATTCTTAAAATTGTTTCGTACTTTATTTAATATTTCATTAAATTGCCGACGAGATAGTAGGATTAGAAGATTTGCAGAGTTTTGATACATTGGCAATTTCGATTTAATTGAATGACAACACTGTCCGTCCTGTTTCTATTTTTCGATTCTGTTCTATTAGTAGGCGGTAGCCCCACACAAGCGTCTTAAAGAGCCGCCCGGCGCCCCCTCTCGCCGGGGCTCTCTCGTCGTATAACTTCTATGATCACTTCCACTATACGATGGTAGGGAAAGACCGCTATCCGTCTCTATTTGCCTCGGTGTATTTTGCAGCCGCCCACCATCTTGTCGTGAAAACTTCCTATTGCTAATATTCCTCTGCCAGTAGTGTATAGTGCGGGACTGTTCGATCGCATCAAATCGCCGCTGCCGTAGTCGCCGTGGAATGCTACGTCACGCGCTGACCAGCGCCCACAGTGCGGCGGATGGTTATTCTAGCGGGACAAAATCTCAAGAGCAATTATTTGGGACTTAAAATCTAAGAACGTAGCAACTGGTTAATATATAGCAACTATATGGTTAAATTTATTTCTTTATTAAGAACTTAATTTATTATCAAATAAATACAAGATAATAAACTATGATATTATTCGTATATGACACACAAAACAGTATTTTAAACTATTGCCAAATACAATTATGATATGAAAACTCTCTTAGCAGTTTTTAATTAATTTTTAATCTTAGACACCCTATAATTTATTTTAAAAAATATATTTATTTGAAAATAATAAATAAGATAGATATTTTAATTTTAACACTCGGTGATTGTAAATTCATATATAGTAAGTATCTAAGACAATTTTTTAAACTCAGTGCCTTTTGATGGAGTTGTTTTGTTTTTATACTATCCGATTGAAATGAATCTTTTGGGCATTCACCTGTTAACCTTGAACTCCCTGTGACTACCTGTGTTGGTAACTATTGCTAACTCAAAAGATCTACATCATTCAATATATCGATATTTGAAAAAAAGTGAAAGTTTGATATCTACAGAACAAAGGCACGGATTTTAACAAATATACTGTACAGTAGAAAAATACATACCTTTTGCAATCTTCAACATAATTTGGCCTTCTAATAAAATGTATAAGCACTTAAATATTTTTGTTTTGATCTCTGTCTTGTTGAGCAGAAAACGACTGAATTTGCTGGATAAAAATGTATCGAAATACAAAGAATATCCATGCATTTTTGTATCAATTGAATAAAACTACTATTTATTTTATCAGTACACATTTTTTGGCTTATTTCTAACCAAACGCTTTTGTCCCGCTAAATTTATCTTCCAACGCACTGTGCGCTCGTGCAAAAATAACTGTCACTGTCTAAAATCTTTAGCGCCAACTTCAACTCGGTCAGTAGATGACGTAAAAAAACTGACAGTGCAGGAAGATAGGAATCGAACAATCCTTATCTCTATAGTATCCTTGTACTGTACCGTAGTTCTGCTTTCAGTCGACAGAGGACAGAGTGGGTGGTTGCCGGAGACAGTGTTGCCAGAACTAAGGATTAATCCGTAGATTTACGGATTTTGGGTACAGTACGGTAATAATACGGATTTTTCTTTCATTAAACAATTTAAGTTGGCTTTGAAATGAAAGACCGTTGTGCGCCAAATGTAAAATATTATGGTAAATGTCAATAATCGTCAATTCCAAGCGAACTGAACGACTTTTTCGATCATGCGAAATATTCCCTGATTCCGAATTTATTTAAAATCCCCTAATCACCCGAAAAAAATAGAAGATATGGCAACGTTGTAAATTTTCAAATTTCTAGATTAGTTCTAGACTATATTTGTCTCTCTCATTACATAGGAGAGAGGTGCTAGTAGTATATGAAATGTCAAACTTCTACATTTGTGCTAATCCTCCCTAGGACATTTTTCTAATCCTCAATCAAGTGTGGTTTTTAGATAAACTATAATATAAATGAAATATAGTGAAATTCATATTATATTTATAGGGCTAAAATAAAGAAAAATTCAATGTTGAAATTATTTTCCGTTTTCTGAAAAACGGTAGAGACCATCAGGAAAAAGATGTTCAGATTCGTAATCTACGATCTCAAAATAGGGTTTAAGCTTGATTTTCATGCATCCGTTGTCCGACGATACGATGATACGATATTAATTTTATTGGTTGAATTTAAAAATTTCGATTGAAGTTAGAAACGGTTAACCAATCAGAGCCTTCATCACAACCAATGAAATATATCTATCAACATATCGTCAAATGAGCTGCATAACTGAGCCCACGAGGTGAAAATTGGACGTTTCCAGTTTTCCCAATAATTACCATTCTATGTTTTAACACGAATAAATTTTCAATACATAAACAATACAGGTATTTTCCAAGAACGGTAAACTAATAGGATCGCTCATCCTCATAAGACGCACGTTCGCCTCTTCCCGCGCTCCAGCTGACAGTTGTGACGTCATTGTAGTCCTTGTCATGATAGTGTGTATTATTAGTTGCATACTGTTGTACTTCGTTCGGTTACGTATTGCTACCGCATACACTATAAGCGTAGTCAAAACTTTATCAAAAATATAAAAACGTTGCTCTAACTGATACTTTAAGCCTAAAAATTAACTAGCCTCAAAATATGAGCGGAGAGTCGATATAAGATCGTTCGATGACAAACAAAGTTATTTCAGGAGGTAAGTGAGAATTTTATTGAAAACCTTTTTTTTTGGTACTTTTGTATACACCCTGTATATTAGGGATTCGACATGGTCGCTCTGGAGCAAATGGAGAAAAATTGGAGGGAAAATGGATATGAATTAGCCACAGATGATCTTACTCGTCTCTTTATTTCAGCTGTTTGGTTTTCTTTTTCAGTTTAATCATTTGTTCCAGATATATATACTCTTCAACTTGTTCTATATTTTCTTGGTTTATTCTGGTTGTTATGTTTTCATCTGTGTTTGTTATGATTTTAGTTTTAGTGTAGTTCATATTGAGGCCTATTCTTGTAGCTGCTGTATCCAGTTCTTCCAGCATTTCTACCAGTTCTTCTTTCTTTTCTGTTATTAAGGCGATATCATCCGCATATCTTAGGTGATTCAAGTATTGTCCACATATTTTGATACCTTTTTCTTCCTAGTCTAAATTTTTGAAAACGTCTTCTAATGCCTGGTTAAAGAATTTAGGGGATATTGTGTCACCCTGTCTGACACCCCTTCCTATGCGAATTGGCTTTGTTCCTTCGTGGATTTTAATTGTTGTTGTTGCTTCGCTATATATGTTGGCTATTAAGTGCGTATCTATAGTCTATCCTGCTATTTATTAAGGAAGTTTTTACTGCCCAGTGCTCAATACTATCAAAATTAATTTTCTCTTAAGAGAAAGAAAATTTAGTGCATCCTACTCCATATCGATCTTTGTCAAAGGCAGTCAAAAAAATTCTATGTTAATAGATACCGTATGATCGAATAAAAACGGCTTCAGCCATTTCGATCAATGACATTTCCCATATAAATTTACATATAAAATGACAGCGATCTTCATTTCAAAGCCTTCGCTGACGCCGTTTTTTTTATCATACGCTACATATAATTATACAAAATTGTTTTCCTTCAAATAATTTATTGATCTTATTTTAAAACAGTTAATAATTAACATATAAATAAACAATAGTAAAGTAATGTTTAAAATAAAACTCACAGACAAGACGGTTACATGTAGGAATATATCTTTATTTATCAACAGATTTTAATGATTAACAGAATAAAATAATGTAAGTTTAAACTTAAAAATAATAAAAATAAGTTTATTGGAGGTCCACATTGCTCCGGGTCTTGGGTGGACGCATATATATTGAAAAAATCCTGAAAAAAAAAATTAAAACTAAATTAAAAAAAAGTAAAAAGAATGCCTACTATAGTCTGTGAAACGAATAACTTTGAATTTGACAGTTATCGCGGGCTTTTCTAGTGTTAATTTTATTAGGTTAGCAACTTGCGGTCATGTTGACGCAATGCCGTCTCTAATAGAACAGCCAATATATAAAATGACAGCGATGTTTATTTCATAGCTACCACTGACGCCTTTTTTCTATGATATTGTATTATTTGCAAATATAATTTTTCGAACATTGTTACTTGCAAAATATACATATAAATTTTGTGAATGCAAATAATAATACATCACTATTAGTAGATATTGAATGTTTTTGTTAAATTAGATCGATTTTCAAACCCCAAAATTTAAAATATATTTTACCCATTATCTTATGAATCGATTCATTATTTGTATATTGTAAAACATTTCCTGCATTTGTATGGTTCATAGTTTATTTGCCAAAGTATTTATTACCATAAATAGGTATATATATATTGTATTTATTAACTGTATATTATGTATATTTCATATAAATTATATCATTTTTAAAATACAAACCAAAAATACGAGGAATAATTATTTTTTTCATGTATTCTACAACATATTTATTAATCCGTAGTATCTAACTAGCGTGACGTCATAAATCTCGCTCTGTGGCTGTTTTATTAGAGACGGCATTAGTCTAATATTTAGAAATGTCAAAAGCTGATGACATTTTACTTTTGACATTATGACATTTCGTGTTAATTTTTGTAAGAAGAGGAAGAACTGTCACTTGTTTTATTATTTTCCTTTTCTATTTCACGAAAGTAAAAAGAGTTACCTATCTGATTCGTTCAGGCACTCAATTTAAAGAATATCAGTAACTTTTTTGACAGAGGGATTTTATATTTGCCAGAGACGGCATTGGTCTAATAGATATACAGGGTATCCCAGGCTGAGCGTGCATTTTGTTTCACAACGAGATCTATCGATTAAAAATATTTTCAATATGGCGGCACTTCCGGAAATACCGGAAGTTGACAGTAACTTTCTTATTTTAAACGGGTGCCCCATTTTTTATTACATATTTAAATTCAGTGTAAAATTTTATGAATTTTGGTATCACTAAACACTCTATATCTAACATTAACTGTTTTTGACAAAAAAAAAATATTAAACATTTTTGAATGAAAAAAAAAGTGCCTGTCAAGAAATGTTTTATAGCCTAAACGTCAAAGTTAGTGATTTAGTTTTAAAGCGTATTTTTTTCTTGATTTTATTTAGCTTGCCAACTTCCGGTATTTCCGGAAGTGCCGCCATATTGAAAATACTATTAATCGACAGATCTCGTTTTGAAACAATGATGTGCAAAAAATCTCCAATCTAGATCTCTAAGGCACGCTCAAAAATCTTCTGTATAACAAAATATATTCACCTGACGTTTAGAGGAAAGCTTATTCTTCTTCTTCCTCCTCCTCTTCCTCATCCTCTTCCTCCTCTTCTTCTTCAACCTCCTCCTCTTCTTCCTCTTCTTCTGGTTCGGGTTCGAAGACTGGTTCTTTCAGGTCTTCATCGTCTACCACCTGTTTTTCTTCCTCGCCTTCTGGAGTCTCGGGTTCGCCGGCTTTCTTGCCCGGGCGCTCGCCGAACCATTTGGGCAGGCGTGCTGTGGACGTACAACACAGTGCGTAATTAAGAACACGTAATCGAAAAACTAGAAGGAAACGACAGAATACAGAGGCCAAAACGCTAGAAAGATCCGGTGACGTCACGAAAGTAGGGCTGGACGCGCACAAAAAAGTCAGTGGCGTACATGCTTTCTTTAGAAAAATATTCCAGGGATTCTGGTGAATATGTCGACACTTTTTTAGCTTTAAAAAGTGTCGACATATTCACCATAATGGTTTAAAGCTGATTTCTGAAACTATTAAAATATATTTACTCATATCTTAGGATTATATAAAGTGATCAGAAAGGAAGCCAAAACTGCAATAATATGTGGTGTTCCGTTTACAAAAAAATTATCCGGTTCCACTCACACTTTTTTGAGCCACTCTGTAGAATTTAAAATATTTTCCTTAAATACATCCTAGTACGTATTTTAGGTGTATGTTCACTTAAACAAAATTCTCAAGTTTTTTATTCTAGGAGCTACAGATGCCCGACACACTTTTGCCGGACCCTGTATATTAGTTAAGTTGGTCCACTTTCGTGACGTCAGTTTAGTGGTTTTCTCGGGCCTCTCATAGCATAAGTAATGCCTAAGTTAAGGCGGGAATTCTATAAACTAGTTTCACGTTAAGGTAGTTAGGCAGGAATTAAAGAATAAGATAAAAAATATGAAAAAATTGTCAAAATATTTTTAGAGCTTAATAAGATCTTTATTATAACGAAAAAAAAAATCTTACCCTTCTGTCTGGAATCGAATTGTCCCAATTTTTCTTTCCAGGTCTTTTCGTTCAGGTCTTTAACAATGTTTTCATATCCCTGTTGATAAAAGAAAAAGAAAACATCAACTAAAGGTAATCAACTAAAATTAATTTAACAAAAGGGGTATAAAAATAAAAAAAATAATTTTTTTTTGAAACTCACGTTGGGTACAAAATCTTTCTTCTCTTTTTAACCAAAGATTATTTAGTCCTTCGAGATATTTAAAAACTGTTCCCTTAAATAAAAAATTTCTTGAGTAGAACTTTTATCGTCGTGTATAAAACAATATTTTTTCCCACAGCGAGTTACGTTTAAAAAAAATATCAGAAATTATTATTTCAAGGAATTTATTACGAGTAGAAAAAATATTGTGCTGGGTTGGCATTGGTTTCTATGTAATTTGATAAATAAATAAAGCTGCCTCTTTAGTTGTCAGTTTTGAGTCAATATTTTTTAATTCTCTTTCGTGTCGATTGCTGACTGAATTGGAGGCAGAAATGGCTCAAAACGAAATAAGTAAATTAATAACAGATATTCAGGCTGAGGATTTAAATCCCGAATAACTTATGAAAAGGAATACAAAAATTTTCAAAAATGGAAGCAATTAAAAAACGCGCGAGAAGAAATAAAGTTTTTAACCTATCCTCGCTGTTAAAGTATCATTTAATCTACAATTGCGGTTAAAGTACTATTTTATCTACTATTTTTGATAGATATAAGGCAATTTTAACAGTTGCTATGGGAAAAAAATGAAGCTATTGTATAGGGAGGTCCACTTTTTGGTAGTAGAACTTTTTAAAAATATTTTAAAAAGAAGATTTAACGTCAAAGTATAACTAGGTACTAGGTACCCAAGGACTGTATACAGGTTGTTAATTTGTTTATTACTCGCGGCAAGAGCTTTATGGTTGAAATATGGCAACCTCGGCCCGCTCGTCGATGACGACGCGACGGGACGAATCGGCAGAAAAATCAATAATGCATGCGTTCTCAATAGGCAGTGTTGCCATTCTGTTCCCCTATAAGTAACTGTCGAGTTAACAACCTGTATATTCTAAAGGACTGTTCGATCGCGTCAAATCGCCGCTGTCGTAGTCGCCGTGGAATGCTACGTCACGCGCTGACCAGCGCTCCACAGTGCGGCGGATGGTTATTCTAGAGGGACAAAATCTCAAGAGCAATGTTTGGGACTTAAAATCTAAGAACGTAGCAAACGGTCTAATATATAGCAACTATATGGTTAAATTTATTTATTTATTAACAACTTAATTTATTAATAAATAAATACAAGATAATAAAACGATATGATATTATTCGTACATGATACACAAAAACCGTATTGTAAACTATTGCCAAATACATAAAATTATGATATCAAAAAACTCTTTAGCAGTTATTTTTAAATTAATTTGTAATCTTGTGACACCCTCTATAATTTATTTTAAAAAAATATATTTTATTTTGAAAATAATAAATAAGATAGATATTTTAATTTTAATTTTAACACTCGGTAATTGTAAATTCATATATTAAGTATCTAAGACAATTTTTTAAACTCAGTGCCTTTTGATGGAGTTGTTTTGTTTTTATACTATCCGATTGAAATGAATCTTTTTGGGCATTCACCTGTTAAGCTTGAACTCCCTGTGACTGCGACTACCTGTGTTGGTAACTATTGGTAACTCAAAAGATCTACATCATTCAATATATCGATATTTGAAAAAAAAGTGAAAGTTTGATATCTGCAGAACAAAGGCACGAAGGATTTTAACAAATAATATACATACAGTAGAAAAGTACATACCTTTGGCAATCTTCAACATAATTTGGCTTTCTAATAAAATGTATAAGCACTTGTAAATATTTTGTTTTCGTATGATCTCTGCCTTGCTGAGCAGAAAACGACCAAATTTGGTTGATAAAAATGTATCGAAATACAAAGAATATTCATGCAATTGGAATGTCTACTATTTATTCTTATCAGTACACATTTTTTGGCTTATTTCTAACCAAACGCTTTTGTCCCGCTAAATTTATCTTCCAACGCACTGTGCGCTCGTCCGTCAAATGCAAAAATAACTGTCACTGTCTAAAATCTTTAGCGCCAACTTCAACTTGGTCACCAGATGACGTAAAAAAACTGACAGTGCAGGAAGATAGTAATCGAACTATCCTTATCTCTATAATATCCTTGCTAGGTACCATATTTTAAAATACTTTTGTATATGAAAATACTTACACCTTCAAATAGATGCTTCTTGTCAGTGTACGACCTAGTGTCCACACGCCTTTCGTATTTGGAGGCTACTTGGATTTTAGGCTGAAAAACAAAAAAAAATCAGAATTTATGTAAATTTTTATGTAACGCAAAATATAGAAAATAAAGTGTAACTTACTGGGTATTTGCCTGTGAGGGCTTCAGGGTCTAGACCCTTTTTAAGGGCCTTGTGCCTCAGTTGCTGTTTCTGTCTTTCTTTCAGTTCTTTAAGCTGAAATAAATAATAAGATTAAAATTGAATTATATACCTTAGGAAACAGCGTTGTTAATTTTGATGTACTTAGTAACTTTATTTTTTCAAAACCTATAATTACGGTGCATTTCAGTTGATTTAAAAAAATTCCGAGCGCAGCCATTCAACACTTCATGTTGATCGCATTAAAATAATATTGAAATCGTGGCTTTGTCATAATATTTAAGTATTTTAGTTTTTTGCTAGTGCAGTTATTGAAACTATAAAACACTCAGGTACGAGGTTTGTGTGATGTAACGCTGTTTCGGGTAGTAAAAAATAAATGAAAAAGAATTCGAACTAGGCGTCGTGTTGTAACAATTGCAAACGTTAATAAAATTGCCCAAAAAATGTTAACGCCTAATGGAGAGCGTAATTAGGGCGTTGTTGGGTGCAATAACATTCAATAACACAACTTTCCCGGATATTCAACTCTCCCGAAACAACATTTTATAGCTTCATAGTTTCTCACACCGATTTGATCAAAATCAAAAACGGATTCAAGCAGTTCGACGAAACAAGTGAGTAAACAAAGTGCTCGTTGCATATCCAAAAAAATAAATAGACATATACTATGAGAGGATGAAATATAATTTGTGCTATATTAATGTTTTTTTAATCAACTGAAATGCACCGTAATTATAGGTTTTGAAAAAATAAGTTACTAAGTACATCAAAATTAACAACGCTGTTTCCTAAGGTATATAATTCAATTTTAAATATGACTATTTATTTCAGCTTAAAGAACTGAAAGAAAGACAGAAACAGCAACTGAGGCACAAGGCCCTTAAAAAGGGTCTAGACCCTGAAGCCCTCACAGGCAAATACCCAGTAAGTTACACTTTATTTTCTATATTTTGCGTTACATAAAATTTACATTCTGTTTGTTTTTAGCCTAAAATCCAAGTAGCCTCCAAATACGAAAGGCGTGTGGACACTAGGTCGTACACTGACAAGAAGCATCTATTTGAAGGTGTAAGTATTTTCATATACAAAAGTATTTTTTAAAATAGTGCCTAACAAGGATATAGAATAAGGATAGTTCGTTACTATCTTCCTGCACTGTCGGTTTTTTTACGTCATCTGATGACCAAGTTGAAGTTGGCGCTAAGATTTTAGACAGTGACAGTTTTGCATTTGACGGACGAGCACACAGTGGAACAAACAAACTTAGTACTGAGATAGAAATAAGCAAATATTACTGATAAGAATAAATAGTAGACATTCAAATTGATACAAAAATGCATTCTTTGTATTTCGATACATTTTATCAACAAATTTGATCGTTTTCTACTCAGCAAGGCAGAGATCAAACGAAAACAAAATATTTAAAAAAAAAAAAAAAAAAAATTAAACCAATTTTGTTAGAATTCTCAAATGCCTTTTACTATGCGTATATTATTTGTTAAAATCCTTCGTGCCTTTGTTCTGCAGATATCAAACTCTCACTTTTTTTCAAATATCGATATATTGAATGATGTAGAACCTTTGAGTTACCAATAGTTAAACACAGGTAGTTACAGTAACAGCACAATAACATTTAGGATAATAATGATCACAATCCTTAAAAACGTACTTTTATAATTAAAAATTTTTCTTAGACTACTTTACTGCTATATGAATTTACAATTGCCAGTGTTAAGCAAGAGAGAGACATTCCCAGAGGATATATTCGTTACTATTAAAGGACATGTTTTCTGTTTAATGTGCTGAAAAGTCTAGAACTATTGGCAACGTTGCTGCTAGTCTTCCAGAAGGAAAATGAGCCGTCCGTCACACCACCCCTCGCGACGGCCCTTATAGCGTACTACGTTTAGCTTACGTTGTGTTTGCAGTCGGAATCAAGTCCGAACTGACCTTTTCAGTGTTTTTGTCCAGTATTTTTGTTTTTGTTTAACAGTACTTTTGAATCTGCGAACTTTCAATATGGTACGACAGTGTCAAGTGTGTGGAAAAAATAAGCTCAAATTACCCGGATTTGTCTTTTCACAGGTAGAATATTGTTTCGCCGCGCCATTGGCGCGAATCAAACGGCCGTTACATAGGCGTTCCACAAGGGAGCCTCTCACTAATTAAGTAAAATTTCTAATTATATTTGTTGAATTTGATCTATTAAAACAAGAAAGTAGTAGCCGGTAATTGAATTATAGTTCGTCTCAATTACTTAAACCTAACTGTTGTAGATCATAAAAAAATAAAAAAAAAAAAAAAAAAAAAAAAAAGACAATTTTTTTTCTTAAATTAGCCGTCATATTTTTGGTCATTATATACGATCTTCTAAAGGAATTTTGCTCAACAATAAACAAAGGTGTTTACCCGACTTTTTACATTTTATTGCTTATTATATCTGCCCCTTCGGCTTCGTTTAGACAAGTTTTTTACCACCGTACAAATACTTCTTCCTAGAGTTATTTGTATGGTGTGTTTATCTTTTTTATAGAATGGGACGAACTGTAAAATAATTCTTAGGCTTCTAGTTTTATACATACCTATATACAGAGTGACCCTCCAAAAAAGCATTTTACCTATTACGTTTTTTGGTTTGTGATTTTTATTCAATTTTTTTTTAGTTCATAAGATGGGGCATTGTAACGCACATTTTCAAAATATTTTTTGTCAACATACAGGGTGATGCAAACCGCAATACATATGCTTTAATTACAAGTTCAATCGAAAAGTTGGGAACTTTACTAAATTTGATTAATCTGATGGAGCTACCTTTAAAAGTAATGGATTTGTAAATAAACGTAATATTCATTATTATGCGACAGAAATCCCATACTGCAGCACACAGATTTGATACTTGATAAATGCCTTCTATTTAGAGACTAAAAGGCAACTGCCTCGCGTCAGAGCCATCATAATACAAGAAGACCGAAAGCCCTTGTCTTATATTTTCCTTGTCTTTACCTTGTTGATCGAAAGACCTTGTCTTATATTTTCAAAAAAAAAAAAAAAAAAAAAAAAATTAATATTGATTATATAGTATAGGAAGTTATTAATAATACAAGATTAACACAACTATTACACAGAGTACTTCTCAGGAAGCTATCGATTGCGACTAACTAATGTTACTAATACTATTTTTGAAAAGTTTCTTTTTAAATCAAAAAAAAGAGGTAAAACTAGAACCTAAACTATCATTTGAGATTAAACGGGAAGTTCTAATAATGTTGCCATATTCTAAACAAGAAAAAGTTATTTATAAGTTTTATTACATCTCTAATTAAATTTGGACGAAATAATACATTTCTGTTTGCTATTGGTAATTTTCTCAGGGAAAATGCGTAAATAAAAATGGACTTTTTTTAATCAAAATACAAGTTATTCCAAAAAAAGACTGTCCTTTTCAAAAAAGGACAGGTGGCAAGCCTAGGTATTTCTGGAATGGAAATTTAATTGCAAATCTACAGACTTTAGTTTGAAAAATATGTTTCCGAGTGCCAACTATGTTTACAAAAATGTCTAAATGTGCTTTACCATTGCCTCCATTATGCCAGGGAGGGGGGGGGGGTGAAAAAAAAAAATTTTTTGAAAGAAAAGTCACCACCCACAAACCTAATATAGAACTGTTTCGGAAGCCTGAAAACCCTGTAAATTTCAAAGTAATGAAAGTTAATATAGAATAACTGAAGTTTTAAATTGAAAATACGACGTTGGAGCGAATTTCGAAAACTACCTATAACGTTTCTAACATAAGTATATTTGGGATATTAATTATATTATTATATTAGACCCTATAGGTAACAAAACTCATCTGAACGAAAAAGTGTTAATGTAGTATATTAATATGGAGTATAAATTTTACTTAATTTAATTTACTTTTACTTTACTAATTATGCTTTCCAAAAAACGATACGCCACTGGCCATTAGAACAATCGAAATGCGCCTAGTTGCCGGGGTCGGAAATTTTAGACTTCTCTGTCTCTTCTGTCCTTGTTTGACACATTGGAATGTTTGATACACTACCAACGAGTATTTATGAATGAGATGTTCGGTCTATCTTTATAATGTCTTTGTACTCTAGATTGAAATTTAATATACAATTTTTTTGAAGCAAAAATGTGAAAAGTTGACGTATAATATGTCATTTTCTATCGAATAAAGTAAAAATATGCCGAGGGGGCCGATTAAAAATCAAAAGTTATAGTCATTTCCGGTGAAACAGGAAGTGACTAAAAACTATTAAATATATCAGTCAATCTTAATTTATGTCATATGCTAACATATCAAACCTCGTTTTTTTATCTGAAAAAATAAAAAAGTTATAGGGGGTGAGCCACTTTCGAGACGCACCCGGTATGCACAAAGTGAGGTTAGGTCACTAAATATTGAAAAAAGACAAATTAAAAAATATCAGTTATTTAGTATCATGTCTTTGTACTAAAGTTTCATAAGTATAGAGGGATTTAAAAAAAAATATGAGTTTTCAATTATTTTTGGAAGAAAAAAAATCATTTTTGAGAACTTTTTGCCACACACTGTATACCGTTAAAATTTAGTTTTATCACAGATTAAGTATACTATATGTATACAGATAAAAATCTTATCCCTAATTCGTGGTACGAAAATTGTTTTTTATGACGATGTGCAAACGAGTAAAATTTCCTGTGCGCAAAAATAAACTCGCGTAAATAACAATAAACAGCGTAATAGAGAGATATCGCTAAACCGAATAGCGTGCATGGACGTTGCCAGGTGTTATTTCCTTACGTGAGGTGGTATTAACTGTAACTCTCTTCATTTATAGTTTCGGATCGGAAAGAATTCTGTTCGCGTCGCGTCCGCTATTTAAACTTAACCTAACTTTGAATTATTTTTTTTTTTTTTTTTTTTTTTTTTGTTTATTTTAAAACTAAAGGGTAAAGTGCTTATCTTCCCAGTGCTTTATTGTTAAACGTCTGCCAGTGGGTTAGGGCAACCAGCAACAAATTCTCTAATGGAAGGGCCAAGTTTTCGTCATCTGCTGTAAAGCTAAGCCTCTTTATAGGTCTTTTAATATTGAAGGAGGTGGAATCCATATTTTGGGCCATATTTATTTAATTAAAACTGAAGTCCCAGCTACTTAACTATCAAATTACCTAATAAAACCTAAAATAATTCAAAACCAATTCAAACATGAACCTAAATATAAAAGATCTTGCCGGCCGGCTCCGGTTGCCAAATACCCGCACATGCCCATTAAGCAATTTTTAAACGTTATTTAAGAAATTGGGCTCTTGGTGTAATTGATTCGCAGATTACGTCAGGCGGTAACCTTATTAGCGGGTGTTGCGTTAAAAATTGACTCGCGCATGATCGTTGTCAGTACGTACACTTCAGTGGGTGATACGGAACAGAACGCGTAAATACTATCGCATGACGGCTATTTTCTGCGGTGTTTCTATCTGAATATCTCAATAGCTGTGCACGATCAGCGAAAGTGACATACCATCGGTCAGCGCTGAGTGCACAAATTGTTTTAGAGGCCATAAATTGGCGTGCTATGTGCGCAACCTAGTAACCTAACTAGTGGCCGGCGGATTCCGAAAATATGGATAGCCCACGAAATAAAACACTAGTAAAGAAACACCAAAGTTGGAAATATAAGTAAACGCCAGACACGGGTAAGAATGCTGGGAGTTGATTCCATCGGGCGATCACCATCATATGACTTGAACTAATCTTTTCAAGGTCACATAAAGCTTAAATTCCAGTGCGTGGTCGTTTTCAAGTCATATAATAATCAATATAATCAGTATTTAATCTGTTGTAATTTGTCGTTTTAACTGTCAAAGTCTTTGTCAAGAGACCATATACTTTGGTTATATGTAAGAAATATACTTTGTGAATAAGGGAGAGTAAGACTAAGGAAGGAGCATAATGGCTATCCATGTATTCATGGCATGAGGGCGAAAAAAGCGCCAATAGAAAGCCTCTAGGGTGGGGTCCCTTGACAGTTTTTCTGTTTGACGTTTCAATTTGACACATTTGAATTTGATTGGAAATTTTGTGGATTTGTCATTCTTTAACGGACTATTTTTATGTTTATTTTATATAATTATTCTACTACTGATAGTTTTGATTAAAGGTAGTAAATCTAGATGGAAATTGTGGCAGCAATTAAATTAACAGTGGACACTATCGCGATTATTATCGAAAAAGACTCTAAAATATTGGTTGTGTAGCGTGCGGTAGATCTCGGGAAAAATTGAGTGAAATAATCGGAACAACTTTTTCGCTAGTAAGTACTATATAGATATACATACGTGTAGTAAAACGCCGATCTTTTATGATATTCACTTAAGGATTTACTAAATTTATTATTTTTAAAAAAAAAAAAAAAATTTATTATAATTTACTTGTCGGACAGATTAGGATTCAAAGATTTTAGATACGTTAATTGACTTACCTGCTTCACTATGCGTATCGGATGTTTGTGACAATAACTGAAAAACATTAGCTTATTATAGAAACTCTATCTAGCTTACTTATTAGAACTGATAGACTCAAGGAATCAGTCCTTTTTATAACGACGTTAATAACGTACCTATCAGAGACGAACATTTATCAGCAACGTAAAAGAGTAAAACTAACAAATCATTCTGTAGTCTAATTTTTCAAACTCTCACTGTATTTTTAAAAAAAAAAAATATTTCTACATTTTTTTAAAATAAAATTGAGAACGACACTGATAAACGGAATTTAAGTCGGCCAAATTTGAGGCCCATCGCGGTGTACCTAAGATTTTGATATGCTCCTTCCTTAGTACTCTTATTCAAAGGTAATATAAGATGGAATGGCCATTGGTCGCACTGCAAGCACACCAATGGACTGACGCACAAAACCGAATCAATCAAAGAAACGCGAAAATATATCGTTCTTTGTTCAATTCACCGGCTAACATTTTAGACAATAAGTCAGGCTGTTGCAGGAGGCAGAGAGCAAGATGGATTAGAGCGTAAAGGGCCTTAAACAACGTATCGTCTGCGGTAAAAATAACCCGTTTAAGTAATGTAAAACAATGATACGCTGTGGCGGCACGCGATGGCTGCATTCTAACTTTCAGCAAAGCAGAGATAGAATTCAATCTCCCCAACACATTCGATGGCGTATTACTAGGTATGTCTGTAACTAATCTGTGGTTTTATATTGTAAAGATATGCACCTTAGACTACGAGAAGTACTATGTTGTCACTTCTATAATATTATCAAATTCATTAGACAGGCATGTAATTTTACAGTATATTTAGATTAAATTAAATAAAAAAGATATTTTTAATACCTATGACACGGTAAAGATAAATGATATTTGAAATCATAGGTAATCACCTTCTGGAACTTATCACTAAGTAACTGTAGTTAATAAGTATACGAATAAGAAAGACCTAGCTAGTAAAAAGTTAAAATTTTATTTTTTAAATATAAACTTAATAGATTTTGATCTAATACATTGTGTTTTTCATATAAACCGAGTGTAAATATAAGTTAACAAAAAAATGTAAAATTAGGTTTCAACATCACTCAGTGAAATAATTTTAAAGTAATTAAAAATATACTGTTTTTAAAAATGTAATGGAATTTGGATTACATCAATATTTACTGGGTGTAAGTGTTAAAAAGACAAATAATAATCCCGGATTATTTGCAGAAACATCACATTTATGCTAGTGTGAAGTACATGTTGATATGTAGATTATCACCAAGTGGCCGAATTATAATACAACGACTTACGCATGAAGTAATACTTGTAAAACTGTATCAGTGCGCATGGTGATAGTTTCAACAAAATTTCAAAAAGGAAAAAGATGAATTTTTTATCTTATGTCTAAAAAACACAGAAAAAAAGATAATCTGACATATATTGGTCAGATTTGTATGGTTACAAGTTATATGCCGTAAGTATACATGATTTAGGCTACAGTGTGTTGTAAAATTAGCTTAACTGCAGCAGGAAGCTGGGTTGGGGTCTTTTCCGGATCTTTTGGTTATATTTATCCTAGTGAACTCTTCCGCTATTGTTGGGTGAATGCCAACAGTGCTCATTAAAGCATTTACAGTTAAATTGCACCTGAAAATGTCACAATAAAATAAAAAAAAATGTTAAAAACACTAAAGCCTAGTTGACATGGTCAAAGTATACTTGGATCAATTGGACGCCACTTGGATCATATGAACCTATTTTAAATCAGTTGGTAAGATCCCACCAGCGTCCAAACGTTGATTGAAGAACTAAGAATATGCGCAACCTTATTAGCTATTCGTGGCACAAAATATCTCCGATATGTAGCGAGATTTAGTTTAGCTCTGCGCCGCTGCACGCTGATAGTCATTGCACGCAGCAGATAAAGGATACTGTACCCAAGGACTGTATACAGGCCCGGCAATGGATCTCTAGGCATAGGAATTACATGCATTGGAATGAAACGCCTATAAAAAGTCTATGCTTAAACAGAGATGGCGACAACAACTTCTCCCGTTTTTCCATTTCACTACGACTGGTCCTACTTAGACAACCCCCCCCAAATAAAGGGGGATAAAAGAATTTTGGAAAGTTCCGCCACCTCCCATCCACTCATGATACCCATCTCCCTGCCCTTTTACAGTTGAGGGTTGGAACCTTTGGTGTTAAACAGCAAATAAAAACACTAAATCACCACAACACCAAAACACTTTTTACTTTTAACCTGGGATCCGCGTTTTCGCTGAACCATGTTGAGCATCGATCAAAGGTCAGCAGATGATTATAACTCAAAAAGAAGTTTATAATCCATCTGCTGATGATGCTAAACATGGTTAGCGAAACACGCCTCCAGTGTAAAAAGGTAAAAGTGTTTTGGTGTATTGTGGTGATTTAGTGTTTTTATTTCCCTGCCCTTTATTTATCGCCATATTTTATTTCCCTCCCGCGCCACATTCGCACCTCGCTATTCCGAATCCCGTCAGTTCATCACAGAGTTGCCAGGACTACCGGTTTCGTCTGGTAACTCACCGATAAACCCGATTAAAGGAAAAAGTCTAACTATATATTCAACTGCGTCTTTAGTTTTACAATAGAAGCACTATTAAAAAGCTGACTTATTTGACTTAAAATTAAGCGACTGCCGCGTTGGAATCTGTATGATCTGACTTATTTAATTGTTTCGATTAAATTTTTAATTTAGTATAACAACACATACAGGTCATCGTTCTGTCTAGTGCAGAGTTACAGAGATATTCCTAAAAATCCTTATTACTACTTATTAGGTGCGGTATTGGCGACACATAGCCGAAGAAGTTTGATATCTTTTGAAAAAGATTTATTTCATTCATCTACTAAAGTTGAACCCATATTTTCCCAAAAAATGTAAACAAAACAAAATTTAAAAGTTAAGAAACAACCTAAATTCGGACAAATATTTTAGTGATTTTTTTTTTTTTTTTTATTATTAATATGAAAAAGAGGGTGAGAAAGTTGCTACAGCTTCCCCATTGAAATGAAATTAAGTTTAGATATCACTGATCAAAATTTGTACAAAGGTAAAAGTGACTGCTACACTAATTTTTGACTGCTATCCCTACTTGTCTAGTTATATATGTTTTATTAATATATTAATATTATTTTAATTCAAATATTTGTTTTTAATATCAAATAAATAATAACCTAAGCTATTTCTATTCTTGTTATATTTATTATATTTGTATGTTTATTTGAGTGATCTATTATTACGACACATAGGAATGCTAATTTTGTTTGGACTTAAATATTATATTTTATTGACAAAAAAAAAAATTTTAATTATTTTTTGAAGATGCTACAGATAAATTTTGTTCTCCTATGGAATTATAATCTAAGAAACCAGGCAACCCTGTTCGGCTACTCCTTATAAAGTTTTTTTCGGCATAATTCCTTTGTCACAGCCGCGGCTTTGTAAAGCGCCGCCGCCGACCGACTGAGTCGGGGCGACTGCTAGGAAGATCGTACAATATTGCCATTTCATAGAAATGCACTTGCTATTTTAGAATGATTTCCAAAGTTTTGCATGTTACTTTTCGTTTTAAGAAAGAAAGTTTATAATGTGCCTAGAGAAAACATTCTTATAATTGTTTCGTACTTTATTTAATATTTCATCTAAAGTAGGCAAGATAATAGGATTAGAAGATTTAGGATTTTGACAAGCCAAAATAATTTCGATTTAATTGAATGGCAACATGTCCGTCCGCTTTTCTATTTTTTCGATTCTGTTCTATTAGCAGGCGGTAGCCCCCACACAAAGGTCTTAAAGACCCGCCCGACGCCCCCCCTCGCAGGGGCTCTATCGTCGTACTTCACTTCTATGATCACTTCCTCTATACGATGGTAGGGAAAAGACACTTTATCCGTCTCTGTTGCACTGCAGTGTATTTTGCAGCCTTACCATCTTTTTTTATCGCATTGAAAACCTCCTATTGCTAATATTCCTTTGCCAGCAGTGTATATTGTAAAGGACTGTTCGATCGCGTCAAATCGCCGCTGCCGTAGTCGCCGTGGAATGCTACGTCACGCGCTGACCAGCGCTCCACAGTGCGGCGGATGGTTATTCTAGCGGGACAAAATCTCAAGAGCAATTATTTGGGACTTAAAATCTAAGAACGTAGCAAACGGTCTAATATATAGCAACTATATGGTCTAAATTTAATTTCTTTATTAAGAACTTAATTATTAATAAATAAATACAAGATAAAAAACTATGTATTAATTCGTACATTGACACACAAAAACGTATTGTAAACTATTGCCAAATACATAAAATTATGAATAAATAAACTCTTTAGCAATTTTTTTTAATTAATTTTTAATCTTGTGACACCCTCTAATAATTTATTTTAAAAAAATATATTTTAATTGAAAAATAATAATAAGATGATATTTTAATTTTTACACTCGGATCATTGTAAATTCAATATATAGAGTAGTATTAAGGAATACAAATTTTTTAAACTCAGTGCCTTTTTGATGGAGTTGTTTTGTTTTTATACTAAGTCCGATTGAATGGATCTTTTTGAGCATTCAACTGTTAAGCTTGAACTCCTTGTGAATGTGACTACCTGTGTTGGAAACTATTGGTAACTCAAAAGATCTAAAATCATTCAATATCGATTCGATAATTTGAAAAAAAAGTGAAATTTGATATCTACAGAACAAAGGCACGAGGGATTTTAACAAATAATATATTTTTTTTTGGTGTTTAAAATATATATCTTTTAAGTAATCTCATACATAAATTTGGCTTTTAATAAAATGTATAAGCACTTGTAAATGTTTTGTTTTCGTATGATCTCTGCCTTGCTGAGCAGAAAAACGACCAAATTTGGTTGATAAAAATGTATCGAAATACAAAGAATATTCTGCATTTTTGTAATCAATTGGAATGTTATATTTAATCTTAATCAGTACACATTTTTGGCTTATTTCTAACCAAACGCTTTTGTCCGCTAAATTTATCTTCCAACGCAATGTGCGCTCGTCCGTCAAATGCAAAAATAACTGTCACTGTCAACTTTAGCGCCCACTTCAACTCGGTCAGTAGATGATGTAAAAAAAACTGACAGTGCAGGAAAATAAGAATCGAACTATCCTTATCTTATAGGCGTACCTTGATAGTCGTGTTCTGCTTTCAGTCGACAGAGGAAAGAGTGGGGGTTGCCGGAGACAGTGTTCCTAGAACTAAGGATTACTCCGTAGATTTACGGATTTGGGTACCGTACGTTAATAAAACGGATTTTTCTTTCATTAGACAATTTAAGTTGGCTTTAAAATGAAAGACCGTTGTGCGCCAAATGTAAAATATTATGGTAAATGTCAATAATCGTCAATTCCAAGCGAACTGAACGACTTTTTCGATCATGCGAAATATTCCCTGATTCCCCCCGAATTATTTAAAATCCCTAATCACCCGAAAAAATAGAGGATATGGCAACGTTGTAAATTTTCAAATTTCTAGATTAGTTCTAGACTATATTTGTCTCTCTCATTACATAGGAGAGAGAAAGAAGTATATATGAAATGTCAAACTTCTACATTTGTGCTAATCCTCCCTAGGACATTTTTCTAATCCTCAATCAAGTGTGGCTTTTAGATAAACTATAATATAATGAAAATATAGTGAAATTATTATATTTATAGGGCTAAAATAGAGAAAAATTCAATGTTGAAATTATTTTCCGTTTTTCTGAAAAACGGTAAGAGACCATCAGGAAAAAGATGTTCAGATTCGTAATCTACGATCTCAAAATAGGGTTTAAGCTTGATTTTCATGCATCCGTTGTCCGACGATACGATGATACGATATTAATTTTATTGGTTGAATTTAAAAATTTCGATTGGTTAGAAACGGTTAACCAATCGAAGCCTTTAAATACAACCAATGAAATTAATATCGTATCAACGTATCGTCGGAGAACGGATGCATGAAAATCAAGCTTTATACCAATTTTGGTGAAAATTGGACGATTTCCAGTTTTCCCAATAATTACCATTCTATGTTTAACACGAATAAATTTTCAATACATAAACAATACAGGTATTTTCCAAGAACGGTAAACTAATAGGATCGCTCATCCTCATAAGACGTACGTTCGCCTCTTCCCGCGCTTCAGCTGACAGTTGTGACGTCATTGTAGTCCTTGTCATGATAGTGTGTATTATTAGTTGCATATGGTATACTTATAAAAATAACAGCTGAGCAATTTTGAGTTAATTATTTTGTCAATTTTAAATGTGAAAAAGGTGTTTTTAAAGTTTTCAGAGCTATAGAGTGTATAAATACGTTCATTTTGTGTTGTGGATTGTGACAAAATGCTTACTAAGTGCTTACGATATTGTTTATTATTTTAAAGCAAAATATGGAAATACTCTAAAAAGAATGCCTGAAAAAGGTGATGCTGGGAACTACTGTTCTTGAAAATGCATTATCCGAGTATTTAATACGATTTACACAGTTAATTTTCTATACTGCATGCATATAAGGTGTTATATATAAACTAAATAATGAACCTTTTGCAGCCGGCAACCAATAATGCTCGTGTGTGTATTATTGCTTGTCGGATAAGGATTAATAACCATGACAAGGACTACAATGGCGTCACAAAGCGAGGAGTTTTCGCATGCACCTGGCTAACACTTTTGGTTGAATGAGCAGTCCTATTAGGTTAACTGTTCTTGGGTATTTTCGCCAAACGTATTACGGAAATTATACATTTTAATATGGCAACATTGTAGCTTTCGGTTACACACAATCTTCGATATGCCTTCGCTGGCCGAATTAGAGAAAATGAGTCTTTTATGCGTTGGCCGCAGAACGAGTGGTGTCTCCACCGTATCTCCATCTTCCCAATACTTTCAATGAATGGTCCAAGTGTAATTGATACAAGTATACTTTGACTGAGTCCACCTCAAGCTTAAATGAGTCAGATTGGTTTACGTTCTAGATAATGTTCTCCACAATAATTAATTAAATGTTTTATTGTGGAGAACATGTATTCAATGAGAATTAAGAAATTAGTTTGCCATATATGTTATCCTGAAGGTTTTTGAATATTATTAAGGGATAATAAGAGTTCCAACATTTTAGATTAATTCATTTTAAGAGGTGTATGAGTTAGAATTTTAATTCATTATGTTTACTACAATTATTGGCAAATTAAAAACAAACTGTTACTAATTTTGAGAGAAAAAAAATTGACTTAGTACAGAAAAATATTTGGAACAACTCAGGAGTGGCAATCTGACTAAAACGGAAACATGAGACAAAACAAACTGAAATGTATGGGCTACTCACTTTAAGGCCGCCGCAAAACCTTGTATGACTTCACCAGCCTGAGGACCAATGAAATGCAGGCCGAGTACTTTCTGGTCTCCCTCCCTAAGAGCGACCACCTTCAAATAACAGTGCACTATACTTTTTTGCGGAATGAAAAATTCTGTTGGTTTGTAATATCCATGGTACACTTCGATGTTGTCCTCGCCATAACGTTTGATGGCAACCTCTTCGCTAATACCTGAAAAAAAAATACAGTTAGTGTTTTCAACAAGTTTTACAATTTCAATTGATCAAACTATGACTAGTTGATTCAAAAGTATGAATTTTTCAGTAGCAATTAAAAAAAAATAAAGAACTTACCAACACATCCATATTCTAATGGAGTGAAAATAGTAGTTGCCACATTATCATAATCCATGTTTATGGTACTGTTTCCAAAAAGTCTCCTTGCAAGTAGCCTGCCTGCATGAATGGCTACAGGAGTCAATTCAGGTTTTTTCTGCAAAAAATTAACGAAATTTTAGTAGTATAGTTTTAAATAACAAAAAAAAACTTGAAATATGGTAATCGCAAAATAATTTTCGATGCACGTCATCAACTTTTAGTTACAAGCGATGTTGACAGCGCTGCCAGATTGTGATCGATTTATGGGATGCATCTTAGTGTAAAATTGGGAAACAAAATATTTATAATATATATTATATTATTTTTAATTTAATAATTAATATTTTAGTAATTAATTTATTTATTCGTTTTATTTTACTTATTACATATTGGCAAAAACTAATTCATTATGAAGATTATTCTAAGCGTTATTATGGGTTATTTATTTAATTTATTGATGTACAACTTACATCAGAAGTGGTAATAACAAGTAAGAGGGTGCCATTAATGCACAAACTAATAGTCACAGAATTTACTAAAACGTTACCAATCAAACTTACTTCTTCGACTGCAATCAAGGGTAATAAAGCACCTTTATTGTCACGTTATCATTCAAAATAGCTTATAGGGAAGCTACAAGCTCTTTGCTTCGACTGTTTAAATGCTTAGATATTTTCAACACACAATTTCAAGAAACGCAATACAAAAACTCGAAAATTTAGTTCTTAAAAGAACTGTTTGTGCTTAAAAGTATAATTTTTAAAAAAATACTATGAAAATAGGCAAAAAAAACGATAATTACTCACAAAGATTCAACAACACAATATTATACAAAACAATAACTGACATGATAATTGTTAAATAACAAACGACAACGTTGCTGAACACGGCGCAATGTGACCAACATGCGCAATGCAACCAACATTTTTGCTAAAATTTTATTTAGTCAGGTTTATAGGCTTTAGTGTCAATTTTGATATGATGACGTGCATCGGAAAATTTTTTGCGGTTACCGTATATAACAATATGATTTTTAATGAGTAATATAACCAGGAAATAGCAATACTTACATAAAGAACGTCGCCTACAGCAAATATATGTGAAACATTGGTCTGTTCGTTGACTGCATCAATCTTTTCACCATCACCAGCTATTTTAACGCCTGCATTTTCCAAATTCAATTCTTTGGTCAAGGCCCGACGACCTATAGCGAACAAAATAGTGTCGAACTCGTCATTGAACTCTTCACTGGCTTCGTTCACCCATGATACCTTCAGTTTGCCTGAATCAAGCTTCTCGACTGATTTAGGTAAACACCTAAGAACGATGATAAAATTTATAACAACATATACATTAAGAGCTCGAACACACTGACGACCAGGTCGCACCGGCCAGGCCGCTGCTATAGTATACGCCACGAATGTTTGGGAGTGATTTATCGGTCTCTACCATGTGAACTAATCTATTCAAGGTGACATAAAACTTAATTTCAGTGCCGTGGTGTTTCAAATCATTATAGTAATCAATATATAATCTGTTGTAATTTGTTGTTTTAACTGTCAAAGTCTTGTCAAAACATATATTTGGTTATAAATATAAAATGGAATGCCCCGTTGGTCGCACTGCAAGCACACCAATGGACTGACGCACAAAAACGAATCAATCAAAGAAACGCGATATAGTATCGTCTTTGTCAATCACGCAATCACCAAACCAATCACCAAACCAAACATTTTAGAATAAGTAGGAGGAGCGCAGGCAGATGATTAGACCGGGCCTTTAAAAACCTACGTCTGCGGTAAAAATTTATGTTTTTAATGTAAAAATGATAGCGCGCGTGTCGATTCTAACTTCATCAAGCGATGAATCACTCCCAAACATTCGTGGCGTTTACTATACCTCTAAAACCATTAAATCAAATGATACCGCGCACACTAACGTCCTAGGCCGTCGGTTGGTCGTTGCGACCAGTAGACTCCACTAAAATATTATTATTTTCTGCCGCTTGTTGCCGGTTTTCTTCCAAATTAATAATTTTTCAGATGAAATCCCTCAAATTCAACGCACAATATTTTATTTTCTATAAGATATAGTGTTTTAGTGTAGTTTTTGCACACGTGCAGAAAATCCAAAGAAATAGTATAGAGACTGGATCAAAGGGAAACTTAAATCTAGTCCCTTTTTTTATCAAGGGTCGATTCTAGTAAAAATTCAAAACATTTTTATATGACATACTCTATTTATGGTTGGTATGATATAGTCTGCGAAACGAATAACTTTGAATTTGACAGTTCCCGCGGGCTTTGCTAGTGTAAATTTTATTAGGTTAGCAACTTGCGGCCATGCTGATGCAATGCCGTCTCTAATAGAACAGCCTCTGAGCGAGATGTATGACGTCACCCTAGTTAGATACTACGGATTAATTATGTTGTAGAGTACATGGAAAACATAATTATTATTCCTCGTATATGTAATTTTTTGGATTATATTCGACACTAGTTTTTTCATATGACAACACTGATGAAGGCTATAAACGTTTATTTTTTTTACTTATTTTATATATTTTAGGCTATAACGTTTTTTTTTAAACCAAAAAAAATAATGAAAAACCAAATGAAAATTTAATCGGCGTTTTTCCCGAACCTAAATCCGAAGAAAATCAAAAGTTTTAGAATAATTTTACATATAAAATGACAGCGATCTTTATTTCATAGCCATCGCTGACGCCTTTTTTTCTATGATATTGTATTATTTGCAAATATAATTTTTCGAACATTAATGCTTGCAAAATATACATATAAATTTTGTGAATGCAAATAATAATACATTATTATTTAAAGTACAAACCAAAAATACGAGGAATAATTATGTTTTCCATGTATTCTACAACATATTTATTAATCCGTGGTATCTAACTAGCGTGACGTCATAAATCTCGCTCCGAGGCTGTTCTATTAGAGACGGCATTGGTCTGATATTTAGAAATGTGAAAGGCTGATGACATTTTACTTTTGTCAATAATGACATTTCGCATAAATTTCGCATTGATTTTTGCAAGAAGAGGAAGAACTGTCACTTGTTTGGTTATTTTCCTTTTCTATTTCACGAAAGTAAAAAGAGTTACCTATCTGATTCGTTCCGGCACTCATTTTAAAGAATATCAGTAACTTTTTGGATAGAGGGATTTTATATTTGCCATGTTGGTAAAAAATAACGGTCAAAATTCAAAGTTATTCATTTTATAGACTATACTTGTTATTATACCTTCAAAAAAATCACATAAGTTTTTCTACAACCACTTGTTTTTTTTATTAAATTAGTTTTTTAGTTGTATTGTAGTCATGCACAAGGAGGACAACTGTATTTTAAATATTATATTTAATTTAACGTTTTTCAAACAGGGTCCATTAGACTATATTTCTACTAGGTACATTATTTAAAAAAAAAATTAAGAGTAAAAGTAACTTAAACATTCATAAAAATACAAGTATTTACTGTTGTAGATTCTCAGTAACAATAAAAAAGAGGAATTTATATTGTAAACATTGAAATAACTGGAAACTTTCTACCTGCTTATATTTAGAGTCAGTGTCTGACGACCTTGTTTTACGATGGCCCTAATATGTTTACTTAAAAAAAAAAGAAACAGAATATCTCTCTTTTTGTTGGTCGCGCGTATAAAATGCTTTTTGTTCGGCCTATTTGTTCTGCTTGTTTGTGCGCGCTCGATTCGTTCGGGCTAAAATGCTCAAGTCTGGACGCACCTTTAGGAACAATACTGTTTTTGTCCTTAATTGATATAATGCTGAAAATCTCACGAGTTACATGTCTCACTCTACACATATTAAATTACATAGACGTAGGATGTAGAATATTCTGTTATGAAACGACTGATGGAATAGCAGACATCGCGGATTTGATAAACGTGGAAATAACGACGTTATCGTGTAGTGGGGGTTGGAGATTTTACTTACTCCATTTACCACACCAGTATTTATTAATCCAAGAAAAATCCAAGAATATTTTAAATGCATTATTTAATATTAGAACATTTAATAAGCTCATGAATAGCAACTTCGCTTTTTAGTTAACTCGGACATTTTAACATTTCTGAAACAATATTTTCTAATTGGTAAAACGTAAAAAATCGTTAGATCTGACAACTCTGTTGAAACTGGTCGTTCATCTGGCCGCAGCTATAAACGCAATACATCCGGCCAGGTCGTTGCGACCTGGTCGTCAGTGAGTTCAAGCTCTAAAGGCTAAAATAATACCTATAAGAAAATTAGGAATAAAAATGAAAAAATTAATGAATCTTTTCTTAAACTGATTAATAAAACTGAAAATAAAAGAATTTTTGATCACAACTGCTAATAATATATAACGTAGATTATTTCTTATTTCGAAATATTGTCAACTGGAAACTATAAATTACAGTTGGGGGTTGGAACCTTTGGTGATTACACAGCAAAATAAAAACACTAAATCACCACAATACACCAAAACACATTTACTTTTACACTGGACGCGCGTTTCGCTAACCATGTTAGCATCATCAGCAGATGATTATAAACTAACGTACAATTTACAAGTTGAGCGTTTATATACTCGCCAAGTGGGCACCGAGTGGGCGTGGCAAAATCTAGCCAACCGAGTCAGAGCCCACTGAGCGTAACAGTTAGATTTCCGCCACTAGAGTAGTAGGAACAAAGAACTTGAAGGAATTGGACCGTTGTCTCTGTTCATACTATCTTTACTTTTATTAATTCTGATGCTTTCATATGCATCTAATTGTCTGTAATTTGAGACTTGTTTAATTAATTTTAAATTATTAAGATCTATACAATGTTCTTTATCAACAATATGTTCGGCAACGCAAGTTTTATCCGGTCTACCATATCTTATCTGAGCTAAATGTTCTTTAAATTTAGTTAATATTGATCTTCTAGTTTGCCCAACATATTTTTGATTACAATCTTTACAAGAAATTTCATAAATACCCGACCTTTCCAGTGGAGGTGTTTTATCCAGGCAATAATTGCCTGGAATTTGATATCTATAGGAAAAATACCACCACACGCAGATATATTCCTAATGAATCACATCATAGTGTTGAACATAAAATGGCTAGTTTAAATTTCTTAGTTCATAGATTACTTAATTTCCCACTTTCCAACGAAAGATATGAAATAGAAAGAGATTACATTAGGAATGTAGCTGAGTGTAATGGATATTCTCCTTCACTAGTTGATAAGTTAATTAGAAAACGTAGGTATAGGTTAATGATTTCTGAAAATTCGACTTTTCAAGTGGAGAAAGATACGTCTAAATATTTTTCAATACCGTTTGATAGAGAGTTATCCCGTGGTCTAAAAGGAATTTTTTAGAATGTCAATTATAAACTTGTGTATAGTGCTAATAATAAATTACAACAATTATTAGGTAATCCAAAGGATAAAACACCTCCACTGGAAAGGTAGGGTATTTATGAAATTTCTTGTAAAGATTGTAATCAGAAATATGTTGGGTAAACTAGAAGATCAATATTAACTAGATTTAAAGAACATTTAGCTCAGATAAGATATGGTAGACCGGATAAATCTTGCGTTTCGAACATATTGTTGATAAAGAACATTGTATAGGTCTTAATAATTTAAAATTAATTAAACAACTCTCAAATTACAGGCAATTAGATGCATATGAAAGCATCAGAATTAATAAATGTAAAGATAGTATGAACAGAGACAACGGTCCAATTCCTTCAAGTTCTTTGTTCCTACTACTCTAGTGGCGGAAATCTAACTGTTTTGCTCAGTGGGTTCTGACTCGGTTGGCTAGATTTTGCCACGCCCACTCGGTGCCCACTGGGCGAGTATATAAACGCTCAACTTGTAGATTGTACTTTAGTTTATAATCATCTGCTGATGATGCTAACATGGTTAGCGAAACGCGCGTCCAGTGTAAAAGTAAAAGTGTTTTGGTGTATTGTGGTGATTTAGTGTTTTTATTTTACTAGGTACAATATTAAAAAAAAAATTAAGAGTAAAAGTAACTTAAACATTCATAAAAATAGAAGTATTTACTGTTGTAGATTCTCAGTAACAATAAAAAAGAGGAATTTATATTGTAAACATTGAAATAACTGGAAGTTAAACTTTCTACCTGCTTATATTTAGAGTCAGTGTCTGACGACCTTTTTTTACGATGGTCCTAATATGTTTACTTCTGAAGTCGATAAGAACCATCAGTAGAAGTCCATATCAGTAGAAAAAAGAAACAGAATATCTCCCTTTTTGTCGGTCGCGTGTATACAATGGTTTTTGTTCGGCCTATTTGTCTTGCTGGTTCGTGCGCGCTCGGTTCGTTCGGGCTAAAATGCTCAAGTCTGGACGCACCTTTAGGAACAATACTGTTTTTGTCCTTAATTGATATAATGCTGAAAATCTCACGAGTTACATGTCTCACTCTACACATATTAAATTACATAGAGGTAGGATGTAGAATATTCTGTTATGAAACGACTGATGGAATAGCAGACATCGCGGATTTGATAAACGTGGAAATAACGACGTTATCGTGTAGTCGGGGTTGGAGATTTTACTTACTCCATTTACCACACCAGTATTTATTAACGAAAAATCCAAGAATATTTTAAATGCATTATTTAATATTAGAACATTTAATAAGCTCATGAATAGCAACTTCGCTTTTTAGTTAACTCGGACATTTTAACATTTCTGAAACAATATTTTCTAATTGGTAAAACGTAAAAAATCGTTAGATCTGACAACTCTGTTGAAACTGGTCGTTCATCTGGCCGGAGCTATAAACGCAATACATCCGGCCAGGTCGTTGCAACCTGGTCGTCAGTGAGTTCAAGCTCTAAAGGCTAAAATAATACCTATAAGAAAATTAGGAGTAAAAATGAAAAAATTAATGAATCTTTTCTTAAACTGATTAATAAAACTGAAAATAAAAGGATTTTTCACAATTGCTAATCGATCACAACTGCTAATAATATATAACGTAGATTATTTCTTATTTCGAAATATTGTCAACTGGAAACTATAAATTAAAGTTGAGGGTTGGAACCTTTGGTGATTACACAGCAAAATAAAAACACTAAATCACCACAATACACCAAAACACATTTACTTTTACACTGGACGCGCGTTTCGCTAACCATGTTAGCATCATCAGCAGATGATTATAAACTAAAGTACAATCTACAAGTTGAGCGTTTATATACTCGCTCAGTGGGCACCGAGTGGGCGTGGCAAAATCTAGCCAACCGAGTCAGAGCCCACTGAGCGTAACAATTAGATTTCCGCCACTAGAGTAGTAGGAACAAAGAACTTGAAGGAATTGGACCGTTGCCTCTGTTCATACCATCTTTACATTTATTAATTCTGATGCTTTCATATGCATCTAATTGCCTGTAATTTGAGACTGAGTTTAATTAATTTGAAATTATTAAGATCTATACAATGTTCTTTATCAACAATATGTTCGGCAACGCAAGATTTATCCGGTCTACCATATCTTATCTGAGCTAAATGTTCTTTAAATCTAGTTAATATTGATCTTCTAGTTTGCCCAACATATTTCTGATTACAATCTTTACAAGAAATTTCATAAATACCCGACCTTTCCAGTGGAGGTGTTTTATCCAGGCAATAATTGCCTGGAATTTGATATCTATAGGAAAAATACGACCACACGCAGATATATTCCTAATAGCTAGTTTAAATTTCTTAGTTCATAGATTACTTAGTTTCCCACTTTCCAACGAAAGATATGAAATAGAAAGAGATTACATTAGGAATGTAGCTGAGTGTAATGGATATTCTCCTTCACTAGTTGATAAATTAATTAGAAAAGGTAGGTATAGGTTAATGATTTCTGAAAATTCGACTTTTCAAGTGGAGAAAGATACGTCTAAATATTTTTTTTCGATACCGTCTGATAGAGAGTTATCCGTGGTCTAAAAAGGAATTTTTAAGAATGTCAATTATAAACTTGTGTATAGTGCTAATAATAAATTACAACAATTATTAGGTAATCCAAAGGATAAAACACCTCCACTGGAAAGGTCGGGAATTTTATGAAATTTCTTGTAAAGATTGTAATCAGAAACATGTTGGGCAAACTAGAAGATCAATATTAACTAGATTTAAGAAGCATGTTAGCTCAGATAAGATCACGTGTAGACGGATAAATCTTGCGTTGCCAGAATAATAAAATTAATTAAAGAAGTCTATAAATCTTAAGTTAAAATTAATTAAACAAGTCGGCATCAGCATTAATGCATGTAAACATCCAGAGGCTGGCAATGAATATGTAACAACTGTCCAATTCTTTCAAGTTGTTCTTTGTTCTAAAGTGGCAGAAATCTAACTGTACGCTCAGTGGGCTCTGACTGATTGGCTGGATTTTGCCACGCCCGCTATCGGTGCCCACTGGGCTTCCGGCAACTCAACGCAGATTGTCACTTTACATTATAATCATCTGCTGATGATGCTAACATATGAGTTAGCAAAACAGCGTCAAGTCTAAAAGTAAATGTGTTCATTGATGACCAATGGTGGTTAAATGTTTATGAAGGCACCCTAAATTAGCTTTTGTATAATATTTACAATACTGATTTACTTACTTGTGTAAGAATTTAACACCTTTATCTCGCATTTCTTCTACAATAATGCCTGCCATTTGTTGGTCAAAACCTCTCAAAGGCACAGAACGAATCATCACGGTAGCATCGTATCCCAAACCTTTTAGGAAACCAGCACATTCTAAACCAATGTCTATATACTACATAAGGAAACTAAATAATCATTTTATAACGTAATAAATAATAATAATACACTCAAAAACAAATTAAAGTTAATATAATTATATACACTTTGCTGAAAAATTCACGAATATAGAGCTAAAAATAACAAAAATATAACACTTTAAATTTGACAAAAAAATTCTCCGTTGCGATTTTTTTCATCTGAGTGTACATAATAAAATAAAAAGGATACATCCAGCTCCAACAATGATAGTTTTTCCTGGTACTCGATTTAAACTAAATATATCATCACTAGTAATGCCATATTCCAGAGCTCCAGGAATATTTGAATATTTCGGTCTGCCTCCCACAGCAATCAAAAAATATCTGGCGGTAAGATTACGTTCACCCTGTTTGGTAACTGTCTGAACTGTATGAGCATCTTTAAATGTTCCTAATCCATTTATATATTCAACTTTCCTATAAAGGAAAACGTTAAAAGTGTTCTCTTTGGGTAAGTTTCAGTATACTTACTTATCTCTAAGTTCTACCCTCGTAACCCAATTAACAGATTTAATATGGGCCTGTATAGCATCTCTTAATGATTCCCAACTATGGCTTACATTATCGCCTATTTGCCAACCATAACTTTTAGCGTCCTACGTAGAAAAAATCATATCAGACAAAAATAAAAATCATGCCAAATAATTGAAGTTTTGGGAATTATTGATTACTTTGGTTTTAAAATAATTGACCTGAGTCCCCTCAAGTGTAATGAAAAATTAAAACCACTCCAATTTTTATCAGCAATATCTAAGGAATTCAATTATTTACAAGTTTGAACGCAAACTATTTTTAGCACTTATGGTTATTAGAATACAATGCCTGTGTAAAATCAAATCAAAATTAATTAGAACCTCTTCACCTGACATATTTCGCAGTAAACCAGTAACATTTTAAATAAATAAGATCAAAAAAAAATAGTTTTGGAAACTTACATGAATTGATTCACCTAGTAAAGCAGCTTGATGCATAAGCTTCTTTGGAATACAACCCACATTGACACAGGTACCTCCTAGGCCCCATTTTGTCCCTATGGGGCTTGGAGTGACGTAATCCAAAACAGCTACTTTAGCTCCAAGTGCCGTAGCTTCTTTTGCAGCGGCTAAGCCTCCCGATCCTCCTCCAATAACCACTAAATCGTAATCATATTCTCCTGCTAAAAAAAGACATTATATTTGTATGACTTCTAGTATAATATAAACTATTTGCAAATGAATTATTACATGGTTGCATGTCTAATTATTAGGATAGGTTTAAAAAACCATCTGCCATTTTGCAATGACATCTCACAAAGTTAACAATTAAATTTTTTGACTTTACTTTTTAAAAGTCAGCTACTTATGATACTCAAACAACTATGCTACTTAAAAATAAATGATATTCGTTGGCTTTTGAGTTGGTAGAAATAAATATATTCTTAGGAAAATGTAAGTAAAAAAGTGCCCTATAATTAATAAATCAGGTGATGTTTTGATGTTGAAAAAAAATGTTGATTAATCCCAATATTGCTGCTATATACCATAAATACTATCAGTAGCTGTATTATTTTTAATGAAATTTAAAGAGACAATGACAATAATATACATCACAAACTAGTGGGGGTGATTAATTAATTATAAACTAGGATTTTCTAAAATAATTGATCTTTGAAGGTTAAACGAAAATTGCATCACAAATCTCAATAGTAGATGTACAATTTTTAGATCAATGCCACACTTTTACTTACGGGTTCGGCTCAGTGTGCTGGCAAATCTGGGAGTACTTAGAACATTTTTCAAAAGGACAAACTTTGTACTTCTAAACTTACAGACACCAGTAAACATGACATGTTTCACAGAAAAAATTGACGCCATTATGACAATGACAGGGCGATATTATCAAAAATTCCGTCTCGGCCGTCCTTGAATTTTGAAATCATAAATTCAAAATAATTCAATTGGTTCGGTGCGGTGTCGAGATGAAATCTATTTTAGTTACGGGGTGTAACAGAGGACTGGGTTTAGGAATTGTAAAACATCTGGTAAATGACACAAATCCACCACAAAACGTCATAGCAACTTGCCGGATTATTGAAAAAGCACCAGTGAGTAAAACTTTTTTACTTTGTAGGTTAGAAAAGAAATAAACCAGCTGTAAAAAACAATTACTTACCAGCCGGAGCCATTTCTAATTGATTTATTTCTCTACAGAATACTATTAACACTTAAATACAATTAAATTGTAAGGAAACAAAAGTAAACTTTTACTGGTATTCCTTCGCTAGGTAAACGTCAAATGAAGAACGAAACGAAACGCACTGCTCTGGAGTTACGTCACGAATTTTAAATTTATAACCATAGACAAGTAAATTTATCGCGGTTGCGCTTGAAATCGAGGCTACACGGCAACTCGAGAAACTTGCTTTGTCATTGATTCTAAGTACTATTATTTTGTTCTAAAAATTATTGTTTTTTGATTATATCGAATTTCTAGCGTATTCTAACTCATACTCTTAAGTTTACAGAGAGTATCTATATAACTATATAGATAACTGTTTTGCGGTAAAATAATTTAGATTGTAACGTTAATGTACAATTTTACCAAACATTTTTCAATAATTTTAGGCGTTGACAGTTATTTTAAAACGTTTATTTATTTTTTTCTATATTCTAATTTGGAAGAACACCAGCTTGTTATATGAATACTCTTCAAATTCTGTTTAAAAAAATAAATTTATAAACTTACCAGAAATATTTTTAGCTGAAATATTAGCGGCACAACCGAGTTCGTTATTTTCGGGTTTATTTTTTAAATTGGACTGATTCTTATTCTTCTCGTTACCCGTCTTTTGCACTGATTTCGTGTTGTAAGATTTGGCTCTACAACCCCAACACGGCATTTTAATTCAATTTAAGGACTAAGGAAACTTTTAGAACTGAGAATATCGAGGCAAAAATCTTATTAATGAGTAATGCAAACCGGTGCGCTGCGAAATTACATCATTCGAAATAAATAAACCCAACACCTATTCTTCCACCGAATTGGGTATATAAATTATTTAATCTTTTTCGCGTATTGTCTTGTAGTGGAGAACAAGTCAGAAACACTCGAAACAGAAAAAAAATGCTTGATTGTTCTAAAAACGGATATTAAATTAATTTACTAATAAAACGATAGTTATCACGAAAGCCTACTACGTTTTCTAAAAACTTAACGGAAAACCACGCGGAAAATGAAAAACAAATGACAGTTTTGCGTCCTTGATAATGACAGACGTATTAACGTGTCCATAGAGTTAAAAACTTGGAGTTGACTGGAGTTGACCTGTTATAGCTCTTTCGCATTTTTCTAATAGCAATTCTGAATTATCTACTTTGATCTGATGTTCGTATAATTACTGCTTTTACGTGTAATTTTCTGTAAAGTAAATAATACTCCATTATCCCCTACAAACACAGTCAATTAATAGAGATAGGCTGGTATAGTAGGTAATTAGCACGCAAGTTTTAGATAATATGTCTGATAGATTTTAAGACTGTGAATTTATAAAAGCTTATCGTTCATTCCATAAATCATCGGAATTCCTCTATTCATTTTTTCTCTGGATATTATACAGGGTGTTTGAATAAACATCTGTCATTTCTCGTGGGGAGATTTCTCGCGTAAATTCATATCAACAGGTCCGATTTTGCTTTTTTTCGAAGCTACAGGCTGTGCTCCAGGGAACCCCCTTCCTAAAATCATTCGTTTTTCCATTTGTTATAATTTTCTTCCAAGTGCTTTTAGCGATTTGAATGAAATTTTGATGGTAAAAGTTACTATTCTAATACTAAAAAAGCGTTGTTACATTTGATGTAGAAGTGTTATCACTGGAATATTTTTCAAAAAAAAAATATGTGTGCCACTGACTTTTTTTTTCACTTGTTAGCAAAATTGTGTAAACCGTATGCCTATTAAAACTTGTCTCTTGATATTTTGCCGATTTTGGTCTCCTTGATGAGATACACCCATAGAGATAAACTCAATTTTATTAATTTGCCTTAGTCCAAGTCTAATATAGCAATCTTTGAAATTTGTCATGCCCTTAACTGTGGCCAAAGTGTTAAATATAAGTACTCAATAATTCCTCATCAAAAAATATGAAAGTTACAGCTAAAACCTTAGATTAAGAATGCTATCATTCCATAAATCATCGGAATTCCTCTATTCATTTTTTCTCTGGATATTATACAGGGTGTTTGAATAAACATCTGTCATTTCTCGTGGGGAAATTTCTCGCGTAAATTCATATCAACATATAGGTCCGATTATGCTTTTTTTCGAAGCTACAGGCTGTGTTCCAGGGAACCCCCTTTCTAAAATCATTCGTTTTTCCATTTGTTATAATTTTCTTCCAAGTGCTTTTAGCGATTTGAATGAAATTTTGATGGTAAAAGTTACTATTCTAATACTAAAAAAAGCGTTGTTATATTTGATGGAGAAGTGTTATCACTGGAATATTTTTCAAAAAAAAAATATGTGTGCCACTGACTTTTTTTTTCACTTGTATCTTGATATTTTGCCGATTTTGGTCTCCTTGATGAGATACACCATAGAGATAAACGCAATTTTATTAATTTGGCTTAGTTCAAGTCTAATATACCAATCTTTAAAATTCGTCATGCCCTTAACTGACCAAAGTGTTAAATATAAGTACTCAATAATTCCTCATCAAAAAATATGAAAGTTACAGCTAAAACCTTAGATTAAGAATGCTAAAACTCTTAAAAAAATGTTTTTTAAACTTGCCATTATTATTTTTTAATCTTCTAAATCAGTTTTAAAATTTTTTTAACAAAATTTAATAATAAATTAGATTAAATAAATAATTTATTATTTTTTTTATTTTAATTTTATTAATTATTGTGATATATAAAATTTTGTTTATCTCATCAAGGAGATTGAAATCGACAAAATATCAAGATACAACTTAATCGGCATTAAACGGTCTACACAATTTTGATAATAAGAGAAAAAAGTCAGTGGCGTACATTTTTTTTTTAAATATACCAGTGATAAAACATAACCCACATGAACGTCTCTGGTGAATCTGTCGACACATTTTTAACATTAAAATATGTATCACTTATGATGTGCTTGGAATCACTAAAAGCACTTGGAGGAAAATTATTATAAATAAAAAAATACTTTGATCGTATTTTCAAACTTCAAAAGAAAGCAGTTCGATATTTATTTGGGACTGAACAGTAGAACTCACTGCCAGAATTTCTTTAAAAAATTTCAAAATAACGACTCTTCCTTCCTTATTCATTTTTGAATCCGTTTGCTTAATCCGCAAGCACATATCTGCTATTCCCGAAAGGCCATATCCACATAGGAATGCGGAGCACGATCTTTATCTGCCAACCCCGAGCTCAGAACTAGTTAAAGGCTCATACTGTACAATGCCAAAAAAAAGTACAATCATCTGCCTTTGAATATTGTTACGTTTTTCGTCGGTTCCGTGTGGATAGAAAGTCACAATTTATTTAAACACTATTTATTTAACACTAATTAACAAAAATAATAACGATAAAAGACTTATAGAACTATTTACAAACGATTTATAACTAAGAATTTATTTTGAATTTTAGCGCGTCAACTGTATATTTATAACTGCCCCCTGTAGGCCACCGCCGCCGGCTTTTATACCAACAGGTAAAGAACTCTAGAATTGTCCATAGATCGTTAGGTGCGTAGAGAAGGTTTTCGAATGTTCTCGTATGTACTCGTCCATTCCAGTGGGACTCGATTCTTCTCGAACGAATGAATCATTGCGGTGTCTATGCGATGTTAAGGTCATACGAGGGCGGGCCATATTGTGAGGTTAGGTCGAGTCCACACGGGCCCGCAACACTGCCCCTTCTTAGGCACATGCTCGTCCCGAGATTATACGGTGAATGAAGGTATTTGCAAAGCTGGCCCCTGGTACATTGCGAAGTCTGGTAGAAATAGCAGTCTACAGTTTTCTCTCCCGATCTCAGCTTTGGGTTGTAGCAGCAAACGAGGATCTCGATTCCCGTAAATCTGAACAAGACTTCAATCATGTTCCGGATTGTACGCCAACTCAAACCATCGAGTCCACACGCCAGCTTCGGAATGGCTAATCGTGCAATGTTGTTGTTTAGCAGGGCTTCTCTCAGTTCAATCAGGGTCTTCCATAGATTGAGATAAGTCGGCTTACTCGGGGACCATTCCTTGGTGACCAGGTAGAAGATGTGCCTTGCTTGACCATGTGCATTGTCGGTTAGCCTCAAGACGCTTCCAACCTCTGGATCCTGTCGGCGTAGTTCTCCGACACGCCCAAACTTCTCATTGAACGTCGCAGCGATTCCTCTGGACATCCGCAAATCTCGAGCCACACAATGAGCGAGCGAATAATCAGGAGGCACGGAAAAGAGGTCTCGTTGATCTTCTTTGGTTACACCATAGCGAGCCTTCTCACTGCTGTTGTATCGGGCCATGAAATCGTCAAAGGACATCTCCGAATCAGGGGGATCAAAGCTGCAGGTTCTCACGGTCCCAGCACGATCTTCTATTTCGCCTTGGTAGGGGCTCAAACGGTTGAAATGGACTACCCTCGGTTTTCCTTTTGGCAATTTTCTGATACGGTATACGACGTCATTAATTCTATCCATGACTTCGTATGGCCCTTCCCACGAGGATTGTAGCTTCGGAGATAACCCACGACGTCTCTGCGGGTTATATAGCCACACCAACTTCCCTGGTTGGTATCCTCCATGCTCAGCTTGAATGTCGTAGTGTTCCTTCATTCGGTCACTAGCACTTTGAATATTTAGGCGGACTCTCTGATGAATGTCGTCCATCCTTTGACGTAGTGTGTGGACATAATCTTCTCCGGCGACTTCTTCTCCCGGTCGGCAACCAAATTTCAGATCACAGGGTAGGCGCACTTCCCGTCCCATAACGATGCTGGCTGGAGTTTGCCCTGTAGATTCTTGGACGGATGAACGGTAGGCCAACAGGAACAGGTGAAGAAATTTGTCCCAGTCTCTTTGGTGGTCAGAGACTACTTTGGCCAGATAACGGTTGATAGTTCTGTTCATGCGTTCAACCATCCCATCGGATTGTGGATGTAGAGCAGTCGTCCTGGTCTTGCGGATGTTCAGGACTTCACAGACGCCTTGGAACAGATTGGACTCAAAGTTTCTTCCCTGATCTGAATGAAGCTCCATGGGAACACCAAACCTGCAGATCCATTCTTTAACAAGGGCATCAGCAATCGTGGACGCTTCTTGATTTGGCAACGCGTAGGCCTCGACCCATTTGCTGAAGTAATCCATTACTACCACAATGTATTTGTTGCCATCGTTCGTCTCCGGGAAAGGACCAGCCACGTCGATCGCTATTCGTTCGAAGGGACTACCAACATTGTACTGGCGCATAGGGGCTTTACCACGCTTTTGTGGCCCATTAATGGCTGCGCAAATGTCACATTTCTTACACCAGGCCCTCACATCTTCTTTGCAGTTCACCCAGTAGAACCGTTCACGCAGCTTGCCAAGTGTCTTGGTAACACCAAGATGTCCACCGCTGGTTCCATTGTGAACTTCCTCCAATACTTCTGGGACCCTCTTCTTTGGAATGACGATCTGCCTTCTCTCTTCTTGTCCCTCCGGTCTCTCGATCACACGGCGAAGTAGTCCGTTATCTATTACCAAAGAATTCCACTGAGCCCAGTATGACTTTACGTTCGGCGAATATCTGCAGACTTCTTCCCACGTTGGTCTTTGGCCTGCGTTTTTCCAGTTAATTACTAAACCTAATTCTGGGTCACTGGTTTGGTCATTTGCAAGATCTTCGGGTTGCCAACTATCATTAACCACAGTTGTTCTTAGGAGTTTCACTTCTTTCTCTTCAGCTCAGGAACAATGCTTACAGTCCTTAGCGCAAGGTCTTCTGGAAAGTGCGTCGGCATTCCGATGGATTGCCCCAGCTCGATGTTCTGTGTCGAAGTCAAATTCTTGTAATCGTTCAATCCATCTAGCTACCTGCCCTTCAGGAT